TCAAACTACATGTACCTCTTAACGTAATGCTCCTCGTGTGTTTATCCAGTTTCAACTTTAAAACTATGTGGGGGTTTCTCATGATGCCAGTGAAGACTGTGTGAACGCTCTCAGAATTGGAGTCTGGAATTTAGGACTTGGGCAAAATGGACACTCTTGTCCGTTCACTATTCCTAGACAATGACTAAAGTTCAGGTGACTCTAATTGAATTCAAGGTGCTGTTTTACCTTTGAATTCATTAGAAATGTAAATTCTTTCATTTCTGTTGGTGTATCTTGAATGACTAATACTTCATGCTTTGATAGAAAATACATACATAGTGTGTGTGTGTATATATATATATATATATAGACTTCACTTTTACACTGCGTTTGTGTGTGTTGAAACAGTTTTAGCAAATTAGTGCCGAACTACCCCAAATGGGAATTAATCTCTTGAGAAAACAGGTGAAGCACAAATGCTAAACAAGAAGAGACTGTGTGGTCAGACAGATTTGTTCTTTGATTCCAACAGATTAATTTCCTACTAATAAAAGAGTGATGAGTTTATCCAAGAAGCAGGCAGGGTGGTTAATAACAATCTGCTCCCCTCAGAACTCTGCCTCCCCCTGTGCCTGGTGGACCCCCACATTAGGCTTTGTGCTGGCTGGCTGTGGTGTGTGTGGTGGGCAAAGCATGGCCTTGGTGCTGCAGCAGAGATGGATCTGGGCTATCCAGTATTCCTCTGCAGGGCTGGCACCTGGTTTGCTCCTGGGTTTCTACAGCACGGCTGGAGAATTGAGAAACAGGCTGTGCTCCTGACTGCACCACTGGGGTCACTGAACGGGAAATTTTTCATGACAGTGATGTCGGTTCTTACTGACCACGAAAAACCCCAGAGGTTTGTCTGGTACAATCCCTCCCTGCGCTCAAATCTACAAACTGAACTTCTCATTTGCCTGTTTTCCTGCCCTAGTGGCCCCATTAGTGACACACGTAACACCCACGTTTTGACTGTAACGTCCTGCTGCAGCAGGGGAGACCCGCCTGGAGATTGCAGCTGAAGGGGACCATAGGCCTAGGGTATCGCCGGAGGAGGAGGGAGAGAGAGTATTTAATCTGGGATGAAAAACTTAAAACCATGGAACTAGGATAGTAAAGTCTAGCATTGTTTGGAAATGGCCACGGTACAAGTGGTAGCCTTCTGTGTAAATACGTTCTTCATACACTTACTCACTGTATTTTTTGAAATTATTCTTACTAGGAAAAAATAAGTTTCAAAGTGAGGCCCCATGGAAAGGCAGCTTAAACTACTCTTCTTGCAATTAGTTGTGTCAAGTCTTAAATTTGACTTTCTCTTAGTTTGGCAAGTAGCATGGAAAAAGCCTCTTTCAGGTAGTTGTTCAGCTTGATCTTCAGGTATGGCCTGTAGCCTGGAAGAGAAATCACCTTGGGTTTGTGGGGAAGAAAGGCAGGAAAGAACTCCTCCATCTAGGCACACAGAAATACCTGAATGGGCTTCCTGGAGACAGGTGGCAGGAAGAAGTAGTGACAAGTTGGGGCTGTGATGTTGGAGCCCTTCAACTCTAACATGCAGTAAACCAGGGATTCGGCATTAATGGTTAACGAGATAATTTGCATTCTGACATTTTCCAGCGCTGAGCTTTGGACTGGATCCTTAACTGATTGATGTTCCACCCTCACTTTCTCTGTCCAGGGTGGGGAACCTTCAGCCTTCAGTTTCAGTCTGCCTTCAGCTCAACGCTTGCCCTGTGTGATGGGATGTCCCTCTGGCAAGGCTGGTGGAGATCCATTGCTGTAAAGCGGTGAATACACTCGTGTGGAGTAGAAAGCAGTAGCAAGGCAGCCCTTGTGATGTCTTTTGTGGCCCTTGCCTGTTTTGCAGGGAAGGTGTATTTATAATATTCTGAGATGAACTCATCTATAATCGCTAGGAAGTTCTTTACACCAGTTGTACAGAAGCTTCCAGGTAAGGTCCCAAATACGAACAGAAACTGTCTAGTATAAAACTTGGGGGTGGCGGGGGGGGGGGCTTTCTCGAGGCTGTAAGAAGTGCAGACAGAAGTATCACGCTGAAGCAGGAAGAGCAGTGCTGTGGTCAAGGGGTTTGATACTTAAGTTCTGCCATCCGTGCCCGAGGGGGTAACGTCAACAGCTCCAGCGGGTGTGCTCTGCCCCTTCGCGGGGTACTTCTGAGGGGGAGCTGTACCCCTCTGGCACACCTGTAAATACTGGCACTGTAAAAGTGGGTTTGTACAAATGCAGAGTGCTGTCAGCACAGCATTGGAGCTTGTGGCTGCCATCTGCCCACAGAGGTACCGTTACGGCCTGGAAGCTGTGTCTTACACTCGGACTTGCCTGCATGGGAGTTACCGACTATACTTAGTCACTCCTCTAGAAAATGAGGCTCCCTCAATCATGTTGCTGCCAGACTCCAAAACTTCACAGTATTATCCTTATTGTCAGTACAAAGAACTGGCTCTTTTCACCCAATCTGCTGCACACAAAGCAAAGAATTTCATGTTGGTGCTTGTGCATTTTGCGCAAAATCCCTTGAACTCGGCGACTCGTACTTTGGAGGCTTTTGTTCTGGAAAATACAGTCCTCCCTTCTGGCTGGAAGGGGGAAGAACCAGCAGTGGACACAGCAGGTTAAAGTAACTGAAAATTGCAGACTAAATATAGTCTAAATATAGAAGACGAGTCTGTCCGTTCCGGCCATGTCTCCAGTTGGATTTGCTTGAAGCAGCTGGGAAGCTCCCTGCTCATTTTAGGGGAAACTGAAGAAATCACTCTCTTCCTTTCCACCCAGTAGTTACAGCAAGCGCAGAACCTCTGTAGAAACGAACTCCCTACTGGCAGTAGCTGTTTCCTGGCAGTGTTAAGCATTTACAACCTGTTTTGCTCCCAGCCCTGAAGGAGCTGAAATGCTTTGTTCTGCTGCCATCTAAGGCTTTGCCATCCTGCAGGATTATCTAACCCAGGTTCCTCGTACCATCTCTCCGTTGTTTCTCCATGTCTTCACAAGTCACATCCCATCTCTACCCGGGCCTGGGTCCTCCTCCTGCTTCACTCCCCAACACGTGAAGAACTTCCAATATATTAAGAAGTTGCTTTGAAACTAATCGTCAGGGTAGATCAGTAGATCCATGTTGGAGTGTCTTGGAAAAAATCTCTGCGTTGGAGTGTCTTTTGTGTGAACGTTGTCTCTTCGTGCTGCTTCCCGTGAGGTGTTTCACGTCTCAGGTGTCTCCATGTTTCTTTAGGGTCTCTCTTGTCTGTCTCTCCTCAGTGGACTTTCTAAAACTGTTCTACTTCTATCCTGAAATTAACTTCACAGTGAAACTTTTCAAATATTGACTTTTGTTGACATTTAAAGTAGCTCCCAAAGGATCTGCTTTTCCACAGTGGTGGAAAATAGCTCCCAAAGGATCTGCTTTTCCACAGTGGTCACTCTACAAAGTATTGGGTTTGCATTAACAGACTATGCTAGCTCCACTTTCATCCCAGAATATATACTGGATGCAAAACAGAATTGTAAACAATTGCTACATTCCAGTGACAGCTATGTTTGTGGTGATATCGAAAGGTTAAATTACAAACCCCTTCAGGAGAGGTAGGATTGAAAAAAGCTTTTGCAGTACTTGCAGTGGGGGAGACCACATGCAGTTGTGAATGGAAAATCTACCCGAGAGGAAGGCAGCGACGGGAGCTGTGAATGGGAGCTCGGTTCTCCCAGTCTCTCCCCAGTCTCAGACTGGATCTAAGGGCTTCCAAGCCACAAGTAAGAAACTGCACACCAAGAGGAAAAACACCTTAATTATGGTCAGAAAAATGACTGTCGAGCATGGTTTTATTTCTGCTCCCCAGTGTTTCCTCTTGCTGGGTAGGACACTTCGGGGTGTTGTGGGTTGTTGTTGGGTTTTTTTTTCTTCTGAGAATTCTGAGAAGCAGTTGAGAGGGAATAGCGTCTGTGGTGACTCAACCTGTTCTCATGTGAAGGGAAGGAGAGCATGACTAAGCCCAAATGATGGGTGTTGCAAGTGGGCTATATAAAGTTCTGACAAGGAACGAGACTCTATTTGTGCGTTGGCACCTTCAGTGCAAGTCTCCAGGCTTTTTTGGAGGGAGATGTAGAGGTAGGTATAGGCCATCTTAAATTTCATCTGTATGGCTCATCTGTAATCGCATTTTAAAGTTTTACCTGAGAACTATGTTTCTGAGGAGGATTTGGAACCACTTCCATCTACTAAATGCTGATCTAACTCCCCTGAACTAGAGCAAGGAAGTAACAGACCAACCTGTTCCAGCCTTTAGTCAGTTGATTTTATGGCTTGTTTTTTCTTCAAGGAGAAGCTCAAGTTTTCCTCCCAGCCTCTCTGTCTTCTAGGAGGGGGGTGCCGGGGAGCAGAAAATGTGCACATCTGGCTCCTGCTATCTGCTCTGTAGTTAATGCTGTTTCCATGGTGATTTCTGTGTTTTGTGGTGGTGTATTTTTTTTCTTTTTTTTTTTTTTTCTTGGGGGCTCCTATTCTTCCCTGCTGGCAATAGCTGTCAGGGAGGTTAATTTCACTGCTAGTCCTCAGTGACCTCCGTCACTTTGTATTTGTGGCGTTCACTGTTCCTTCCTTTTACCAGATGACATGGGCAACTGCAGACTGTTGCAAAAACACATTATCAAGTGTAATCTAAAAAAGTTGTATTTGGTGACTAGGATTCCTGCGTTTTCCAAGGTAAATTTTGCTTCAAGTGGTTAAATAGATTTCTGAAAGTAAAAAAAGTCAGCCAGCTGCTTTTAAGTTACCATGATCTGTGATGGGCAACCTGGCCACCTAGGCTGAGCCTCTTTTTTTTTTTTTAGACTTGGTAAACTTAACTGGGGGAGATGATGGTACAGCACTTTTGCTAACCAGCCACCTTCATGCAGAGCACAGATTTTTGGAATAGAGCACAAAAAAGTATCCAGGTTAGAAAGAAAAACCAGAACTTATGCTGACTCTCAGGAAGCAGTGAGGATCTTCAGACCCACTCCTCCAACAGGAGCTGTGAAACCTCTGGATTTCTGTAATCCTCCAGCTTGGCTGCATCTCCGTGTTTCCTCTGAAACAGGAGTAAGCTTTGCAATAGCGTACTGCTGTAAAGTTGCTGAGTTCATAACTCTGAGGTGCATTGTTTAACTTCATGTTTCCAAAATAAAAAGGGTTTAAACTGATACTATAAAAAGCGCTGACGGACTTTTATGCGCCAAACTGCCCATACAGCTTTTCTGTTGCGGGCTGCAATCTGCGAGCCTCGACTGCACCAGCGCACGGGTTCCATGCTGAGCAGCCCGTCCCCCCGCAGATAACTACACCACAGAATTGCTCCACCATTCCTTATGTCTGCGTAGTCTGTAGCGTCCTCATCACGCTATCTAGTTGCAGGACCTCAAATGGGTAAAACGGTCTCAAAAGAAGTGTTGCACGTAAGTTGTAATATAACAGCGAGAGTTTTGTGTTCTGTTGTTTCAGGCGTTGTGTTCCCGTGCAAGAAGTGCTTGGCTTGTGGGGTGCCGTTCTTCATGCTGGTCCCACACTTGTTGTTTGACACAGAACTCACTTGATTCCTGGGCTTTTACAGGATGAACAAGAAGCTACTACTTCAGGCTGTTCCTTGTTAGCGGACAGGAGAGACAGCCTTGGCTACAAGAGCTGTATTTTACAAACTGCAGGGTGAGAAGGCTTGACTTGGGCAACTTTTTCTGCTTTGGACTATTCTCTTCACTAAACCCCTGGTTGATAGCGGAGACGAGTTGGTAGTGCTGCAGTGTCAGCTTCACTAAACCCCTGGTTGATAGCGGAGACAAGTTGGTAGTGCTGCAGTGTCAGCCGTCTGGTCTTAGTGGGTGACAGAGGGGTGTCTGAAGAATCTGGTCCTGCCTGCTGTAGCTTGTGCATATCCTGCCTCTTAACCACAGCTAAACAGCCTGCCTGCACCATTGGCTAAAGAGTAGAGGTCCTAAGCTGAGATGGTATGAGGGATGTTTGGTAACGGTTCTACTAGGGGCACTTTCCAGGCAGCCCCAGGCTGGCTGTGGAAGTCAGATGGCGGCTGCCCTTGGGCAGGCCAGGCTGAGGTGGGCGAGCAGCGCTGGGGTGGATGATGGAGCTGTGGTGGCACTGCCAGGGCTGGGGGAGGCTGGAGCGATGGGGGCAAGGGGATGGCGTGGAGCTGGTGCCTTCCCTCAGGGTGGCCCTGTGAGAAGCCATGGGGGCCGTGCTGAGGGGAGGGCGGCCCGGCCTCACCCGTGGCCCTGTCTGCCTGGTGGCCCCGCGGCCCTCAGCCGGGCAGGAGCGAAGGAGGCCACGCTCCCCTCTGTACCCGCTGGCACCAGGCCCTCCTGGCAGAGCTGGGTCAGCGGTGAGGGGAGGGCGGCAGCGCAGGGGCCCTGTGGTGGCCGTGAGGGAGGCCGGGCCTGGCGGGGCTCTGCCCAGGCCTTGCTCTTGGCTAGGCCGCCCAGAGACCGACTCGCAAACTTGGTTGTTTGTAAGGTGCGGCTTCCTCCCTGCTTAAAGAGTTTAAACAAAAATGTTGTCATCTGTTGGTTGAGGGCAGTGGGTTTTTCTAAGAAAGAACTGGTTGTGTCAGAACTGAGAGCTCTGTGTCTGGTTCCCCTTCTCCCGCACTAGCCACCCTGAGCTTGCTCTGGGCCACGGACAACCTCTGGCTGCTGCCAGGTGGTTTCTGGGGGCTGGTGGTGAGGGGGAGTGTCCGAGGAGTCACCTCATTTCCATCACCAAACCTAACCCCACATCAGATGCCTTAATAACAGCTCACTAAAACTTTTCTCCTCTCCCCTCTGCTTTACATTGGTAGGTAATTGATCTTCATGAAGGAAAGAAACACCTGAGAAGATCCGAGTCAGAACTGTAGCCGTCGCTTCAAGATGCCCCAGAGGGAAAATACTCATCTGCAAGTCTCATCTTTCAAAACTGCCTGCATTCTTTCAGTCACAGAGAAACATTTTTTGAGAAAGATGACTTGTGAAATCTTTGAACAAAGCTGAATGAAAGGATCCTGACTGAAAGGCAACGTGCTGTACAATGGACACTCATCTTGAAGGGGTGACATCGCTCTTGAACTAAAACAGGCACTGTAAAAATACTGATCCTGAACAAGAATAAGGATTATAGAAACTGCATCAGAATGTTTGTTAGTCCCAGAAGAGTCAGAAAATGCCATTTTTTGCACATATTTGCCACTTGCTTCGTACTGTGTCTTATGATTTTTTGGGAACCGTTTGATAATAACATTGTGAGCCATATGAAGTCCTATTCCTACAGATACCTCATCAACAGCTACCATTTTGTGAACGACAGCCTGTCTATCAGCAGGGATAACCTGGACAGAGTATCGAGCTACCAGTACTTGATCAACCACAAAGACAAATGTCAGCAGCAGGACGTCCTTCTCCTGTTGTTTGTGAAGACTTCTCCCGAAAACCGGCATCGGAGGGATGCAATTAGACAAACTTGGGGTAATGAGAAGTACGTTCGTTCTCAACTTAATGCCAACATCAAAACTCTTTTTGCCCTAGGACGACCAACAGATCATCTGCACCACAGGCAGCTGCAAAGAGAACTTCTTCTGGAAGATCGGAAATACCATGATTTGATTCAGCAAGAGTTCTTGGATACTTTTCACAATCTCACTCTTAAATTGCTTTTGCAGTTTAGCTGGATGAACGCCTACTGTCCGCATGCCCGGTTCCTCATGTCTGCAGATGATGACATATTTATCCATATGCCAAACCTTGTGGCTTATCTCCAAAGTCTAGCGCAAATGGGTGTTCAAGATCTCTGGATTGGCCGTGTCCACCGTGGATCCCCTCCCGTGAGAGACAAGAGTAGCAAATACTATGTTCCCTATGAAATGTACCAGTGGCCATCTTACCCTGACTACACAGCAGGAGCTGCCTATGTCATATCCAGTGATGTAGCAGCTAAAGTCTATGAGGCTTCGTTGACTCTCAATACAAGTCTTTATATAGATGATGTTTTCATGGGTCTCTGTGCCAATAAAATGGGAATTGTACCACAATATCATGTATTTTTTTCTGGGGAAGGAAAGGCTCCATATCATCCCTGCATTTATAACAAAATGATGACATCTCACGGACACGTAGACGATCTTCACCAGCTCTGGAAGCAGGCTACAGATCCCAAAGTCAAAAAGGTTGCTTCGGGGATTTGGGGTAGAATGTACTGCAGGCTAGTCAATATTATGCTTCTCTGTAAACTGTACTACGAGGACACGTACCCATGTTCAGCTGCGTTTTCCTAATACTTGAATATCTGCGTTGAAGACCCACTGAGCCACTGAGCAACAACTTTTTAGCTGTTTATTCAAAATATATGTAAACATGGAAAGAGGTAAAACTTAAATGTGAATAGTTGAGGGGGGCGGGGAGTGGGAAAGCTGTTCCCAAATTCTGTTCAGAAACTCTTACTGGAATAGCTCTCCTGTTGTTCTGCAACTTTTTACATTGTAGCCTGGTTGGTTTTTTTACATTTTTCAAGGGATGCAAGTCTGGATTAAACAAACTATGATGGACTTGACTTCTAGACTTTGAAACGCTTGGTGAAAATGTCGGTTACTTTGAACTTGTCAGTAAATTAGTTTTTTTAAAAAAGCTATGTGAACTAAGGCACATGAGGAAAAAAAAAAAAAAAAGAGGAAAATGTGCTATATCGAAATGGAGTAGACCTTTCAAAACACAAGGAAAATAGAACTTCTGACTTCCTGAATGAGACTATTGCAGTAGTTTAAGGCAAAGTAAATTGGTCACAAATATTCACCATTTCTCAGTGCTTCATAGAAAGTAAGGCTGCACCTGCACAACTGACAACCAGCGAGTGCTACAGTCTTTTTCTCAAAGCTCCCTAAATCTTTGAAATAGGGAAACGGTGTTTGACTGCCCTCTGAATTGATTGTTTTAGTAACAAAGGAGCTCCCTGTAGAGCAGGACTGATTATGAAAGGATAAAACTGAAACATGACTCATGTAGCTGGTTTTGCTAATCTTTCTCTGTCTTCTGAAAACCGAAACAGTGTATTTAAAACAGTCAGCTCTTTAATAAGCAAACAAGCTAAATGAGTTTTCTTTTTAACAATGTTTCTGCTTTCCAGTACTTGTGGTTCAAAAGGTGAAAAGCAAGAAAAGTCCCCGAGAATGTTACTTTTAGCAAATTTGAAGCTGTTGAAGACTTTAAAAAGCGAAATGTCATACCTGTAGTAAGCAAGAGAGAGGGTAGTTTCTGCACAAAGTTTGACTTCACAGTGAAGGGACAGGGAGCTGTCGATCCACGGAAACTCAATGCACAAACCAAATCACTAAAATATTTCTCCTGAAGTCTTTAGCACAAGATTATCTTTAAAATACCAGGGTATTTTTTGCCCACAAAACCCTGTACCTTGAATCTATGTCAATGTTAATATCACCCACAGGAGGAACAAAACCCCGGTGTGTTGTAAATCGGGACAGAACCGAGTGATGCTGGAGCCCCAGCCAGTCTGAGCTGTGCTGTGGTGCCACACAAATACTGCAAGAACCAGAGTTTAGGATGTCTGTGGTCTCTCCTTGTATCGCTCACCGCTGCTGTTCTCACTGGCTCTCGGGACGGTTGTTTTAATTGCTAACTGCCAAACTTGTGGTAGCTCTTCCTGGAGCAGGGACACGGCCCGCAGAAGGTACAGTCAGACATTACTTGTGCTCTGATTTGTTGCTGAACAAGTTCTGGTGTGGGCAGTATCAGGAAACTACTTCTGAAAGCTTGGCTGAGGCAAGGTTATCCGCAGAGCAGCAACAATGCAAACGCTTGCAAATCATTAAGCATCTGGTGGAAACGTACTAATTCCAGGAGCAATCCTACTTGCTTTTGCCTAAGACTAGCCTTTTTCTGCCTGGTTTCTTGCTGGGGAGCAGTGAGGTACTTAAGCTGTCTCTCCTGACTGCTGTGGAGAAGAGCTATACAGGACTTGGCAGTTGTAAGCTACAAGTAGTAAACTTTTGTTTAAACAATTGCTGCTGCTCTTGGAGCTGTGCTGCAGGTTTAATTGTTAGAATGGCTAATGGAGTGTGTTAGCAGAGAGAGACTCTGGGGTGAGCCTGCGGACTGTTCAGACGGGTTAGGTAGCTACTGGCATAAGTGAAATACGTAACTCTCTGTCATTGGTTTTCCAGAAGAAAAAGAATAAGAATCCTAACTGCCCCCAAATGTTGGGTATATAAAAAGCCCACAAATAAATCCTTTCTCAGTGTTATTCCTCCTCAGAATAACTGAGGAACATAACAGCTATGCTTTAGAAAGAATAAATCCAGTTCCTGTTCTTGCCTAAACGTATCGATCACGGTACTGAGGATGGGTGGGTTTTAAAAGATAAAAAACAAACTCACCACAAGACAACCCAGATCTGTATAACCCGTTGGCTCACAGAGAAATAAAAGCTCGTAGGGAGACAGCAGTGTTCTGTACTGAAAGAAAGCTGCTTCCTCAGGTCCCTGACCTGTTGGGAGCCATTTAAACCAACCCAGCTGCGCGGCAGAACTGCATGAGTAGAAAAACCACCCTGGTCACTGGAGGGAAAGAGGGTCTGTGTGCGCAGCATGTGACGCAAAGGGATTGCTAAGACTACATTTTTTCCAGCATAACTGTGTTGGGATTTCTTGTTTTCACTCATACAAGCAAAGGTAAAATACGTTTTAAGTAGCTTATACTTCTGTAGGGAATGACCTAGCTAACATCTCAAGCGCTGCTTAAATGTAGCTTGCCATTCTTTTTTGCCCACTGAAATACTTTGTTTTACAGCTGGTTTGAGTTTTGTTTGGATTGTTTCTTCAAAGGGCTTTGGTGTTTGTAGTATGCGTTTTCTTCTGCTGCAGTGAAAAGAAGTTGCTTGTTGAATAAAAAGGAAAACATGAAGGCGCTCCTTTCAGAAAGGGAGAAGCTAGAAAACATATTATTTTCTGGTTCTAAACACTGACTTAAGATTTGTAGACCTGTATCTGGAACCTTTTCCAACACTAGTCTCGGTGCTCCAATGCAGGGCTGTCAACTTCTGCTCCCACAGATGAAACTGAATCAGCCTGAATGGTCACTCCTCGTTATGAGTTTGACATTGTTGCACAGCATATTTAATGCTCAAATTGTTTTTACCTTTTTGTTCGGTTTGCATCAGTTTCCCTTTGATATTACTAATTTTTATACAAAGTATTCAATATTTATTCTTAAACTTTGCTCTGTACCACAAAAAGACAATTGTTTTGTAAAATTTGTTTTGAATAAACAGAATTATTTCTTTTAAAAAAAACACCAAACCAAACCAACACACCAGAGGTGGTGAGTATCTCTTGTTCCTTTCTTTGTAACTGCCAGGCTCAGCTCAGTTGCTTCCAAATGGGATTCTGAGTCCCGCCTTGGGAGAGGATTTCGAGCTGCCTGCCCCCTATGCCTTGCTTCCTCTCTGTTCTGCCTCCACCCAAACCCCTGGTGGCACAAAAGGCAGAACTGCTGTTCCCGAGAGAGGAGACAGCCCAGAAATTTGTTAATCAGGCTTTTGGGTCTGAAGTGGTGTGGAACAGCCAAATATCAGAAGCGTAACCTGTCATTAATATGAACAAAGGTGTGTGCTCTCTTGGGGCAGCCGTTCCCCAGCAGCGGGGGGGTCTCTCTAAATCTCTTCTATTTCAGATCCCGCTTTGCACCCCTGGGAACCAGTGGGTGGCCTGGGGACCAGTGACAGCCCTTTCCCAGGGCAGAATTAAAACCAGACAGCAGTAAGTTGCATTTTTTGTCTGTCCCCACTTTGGCACCGTGTATCAAGGCAGTGTTTACAGAAATACACTCTTTGGCATCAGGTAAGGTCAGAGTGTACCCGTGTGAGAGGCACACCGTAGGCGTAAGTCCCCTAAGTCGTGCTGAAGAAGAGAAGAAAGGAAAGGAGTCGGGGGAAACTGTGGGGTTTTCAGTCTGTGGGCTCGTTGCAGGGCGGTCTGGTTTTTTGTGGCCGGTTTTGTTTTTTAATTGCTCCCTTTGGCCTGGAAACAGCTCAGTTCAACTAAACTGAACTGGGTTTGCTTGGTGCTTTTAGTTGAACTGAAAGGACTGAAGTATTTGGTGGTTTAGAATGCATCATTAATCATCTCCTCAGACTTTGCAGAAAGGGAGACAAGATTATTGCTGGCATTTGAAAAACCAGAAGCTTCTCGAAGGCATAGGGTCAAATATGAACTTCTTGAACACAACGAGATGATCTTTAGCCCTGCTTTTGTGTAAACACATGCGGGACTTTCTCACCTCGTGTGGCTAATGCTTCTAGCAAAACCACATTTGCAGCAGGAACCTCTGCAAAGCCCTCAGCGCAACCCAAAAGCTAACCCTTGCTTTTCCAGCCAGCAGACTGGATAAAGGCGTGGCTAGGAGCATCTCAGTGACTTGTTATATCCAATTTATTCATCTTAGTGAACTGCAAAGAAGTTGTAGATAGTGTGCTACAAATGCAGTTACCTGCACTCTGAGGACAGAGAGGTGCCGCCGACCCGCGTGCGCAGCCTTACCTCCTCCTGGAGGAGAGGTTCTCGTCGCTCTCGCTCATCACCAGCACCCTGCTGGACCCTCCCTGGCTGGCCTCGTGCATCACTTCGATCTGCACGCAGAGGACACGGGAAAAGTGAAAATACATCACTGCCGATGCTTTTATTTTGAAAACTCTAACTCTTTTTAAAGAGTAAAACCCAGATCCTACCTCGTCTGGTAAGTCACTGGACAAGTTAAAATAATGATGCATTCTAGATGTGTAGGTTTTAACCGGACAAGTTAAACTAATAATGAATTCTAGATGTGTAGCTTAGAAATGAGGAACAGCATGCGTGGGTTGTAACTAGAGAATACCTCTTCTCCCCGTTACTGCCATGGGAGGCATTCCTGACTCCAGGCAGACTCAATGTTCTCCCACTGCAGAAGGTGAATTATCTCCTCATGTAGACAATTACAGGCAGAACAGCCTGTTCCTTAGACTCTGAAATATTACTATTTTCTGTTTCCAGCCTGAAGCCAACCCAAAGACGTCATGTTTTCAAAGTTGTTTGTACAGTGTCACGTGGAGAAGTCCAGGGAATTGTCTCGTGCCTCTGAGAAGTGTCCCTCTCCAATACCGAGCACAGCACAAGTGCACAGGGACTGACCCCAGGCTGCCATGGACTCCGGCTTTGTACCTGATATTTTGATAAACATTAACCTACTTGTCCAGTCTTGCAGAGTTGGACCGCTTCAGGTGTGCTCCAGGCAAGCTGGAAGGAGGCTTTTCCTCTTGCCTGCAGCTTTTAAAGTCCTGTGCTCAAAGGCACCCTTCAAATGCAGTGGCAGAGCTCAGCTGCTGAGTTGGCAGTCAGTCCAAGCCAACACCTACAGCCCAGCAGAGTCTGTGTGTTCCTGGGCACTGCCACCTTCTAAGGCTGATTCAGGGGAAAAAAGCAGTGGCCTGTCTTGTATTCTCTAGAGCCACATTATTTAGCTGGTTGGTGAGGATGATGGAATCCATTAATAAACCCTCCTCACCTGAACTATTGTCAGAGCAAATAAAATGCAAACAAAAATGTTATAGCAACAGTGGGAGGGAAGGAGAGGGCACGTAATTTGCACTGTGCTCTTGGAAAACAGACTGGGAAATGGTGTTTGTAGGGCCCGGGTGGTGCTGCACACAGCTGACTGGGAGATACCCCTCTGCCCCACACTGCCCGACTTCTCCTGCTGCTCTAGTCAAATGGTGGTTGGATTATTTCCCTCAAAACAGCCAGGGCCCACCCTTACTTTTTTCTTTCTCAAAACATACCTTAAATTGCATTTTTTACCATTCTAATGATACGCTGCCCTAAAGAGCTAATAATATAAATCTTACTGCAGGGACGATGCAAGAAAATTACAGTAAAGGGCTGTTTTATTGAAAAGGTTGTGAGTGAATGGCACTGTGTGTGTTTCGATTTTTGTCTTCTTTTTGGTAGACATTTAACTGCAGGGGATGCCAGCAAAGTTACAAAACATTTGTGCACAGACCATAAGAACACACTTTCAGTGGTACTCCTGGCTCTTTTGCAGGCATATTCACATGGGCTAAACCCAAAGATTTTAAATAAGACAAATAACACAAACGCAAAATGTCCCTGACCCTCCCTTGCCCCCACAGCCACAGGTAAGGGCGGAATTGTTGGTTGGTTTCTTGGTGGTTGGTTTACTGTTAGTATTAAACGCTTAGTCTTTCCTCTGTGTAGAAACTACCCTTAGAAAATATCTAAATGAGGGAAAATATGTAACTTTGTAAACTCCTGAGCATAACACATCGGAGCTTCAGAGGAGCTGGAATGAGATTCCAGTGTTAGAAAGGAAACAGTTCACACACTGTAAGGAAGGACGGGCACTCCGGGTGCACTTCAATGTGTTACTGTTGGACGTTCCCTCCACACTTCCCCATCCATGATTCCCAAGTGATTTCTACTTTAGTGTAACTTGGTTTTCCATGTACACGAGCATAAATCTTTTAACGCTGCCATGTAACTTTCAAACTGCAGCATGAAGGGTAAAAAAAAAAATAATCCTTAGCAGAGAATTAACTTGGAAACGTTCAGATTTTTAATTCCAAGTATAAATATGTGAACCTACGTTTATATTGTTTTGAGTTCTCTCACAACACGGGATGTCCCCAAAACCACAGATACTCCTACCTTAATTCCACCTTTAGTCTTCTTAATGTTTTTCTTTTTTGATAACTCGACTTCAGAGATGGACTTGGGAGGACAGGAAATTTCTGTGGATCTCCTGTTGGCAGCTGAAGGAGTAAAAAAGAAAGTCCCGTTAGAAAACACATGCTAGAAGTTGAAAGACTGCTTCCTGCTCCAGGCCATGAGCAAAGCTCCTGGCACAGCAGTGGTGTGGAGAGCTGGCTTGGAGAAGGGAGCTGTGGCTGGTGAGGGACCAGCTGGCACAGGATGGGCCACGCTCGGTGCTCCACGGTGGCTGGGAGTGGCTCTTAGGGCTCCTCCCAGCAGCCCCCTTTGGGCAGCACAGCAAATGGTGGCTGGTTCTATCAATAATTGGGCAATTCTCACTTGCACAGTTTTCCAGCTCAGGCGTTGTGGCCCATAAGGGTTCCTCATGAAGGGGCATTTTGGTTCTGGGAGTGGTTCGTTAACGTCAGACTCTAAAGGATTGTTCCCTGTCAGGTCTCATCACACAAAGAAGTCCCAAGAGCAATCGTACGGGTGTTCAACAGATCCCTGTGACCACGTAATGACAGTGACTCTGAGGAAGTGATTTCAGCATCAGACACGGCTGCCCAGGAGCAGTCGATGGTACCAGAAAATCCTCCTCAGCAGCTGAACCCTTGTCCCAGCCTGCTGTCCCTGGCAGAGGCTTGGAGCCAGCTGGGAGAAGGGGAGGCAGACATCGGGCTGGAGCAGAAAATCATCTCTGTTACATTCTGGGTCTGTTTTAAATTGATGAAGAGTTCACAGTGCACAAGGCAAACAGAGTATTTTTGAGTTACTGGAACTGCTCATGTCATCACACTGAGGTTGTGTCTGGAGTCATTTAGAAAGAACCAGGTAGGTACTCTGGAGCTGGAGATATAAGGGAAACTCCCTTACAAAATCCAGTAGAGTTGGCCACGCCAAGGTCATTACTGCACTGGGGAAGCTGAAGGTTATGGTGTTCGATTGCCCGCGGAAAGAACAGAAGCGCAGGAGCAGAGGAAACTCTACCCATAAACAATCCCAGCTCCGCACGGGTTCAAGGTTGTTCCCATCCTGTTGTTGCACAATACTGCCCCAGTGAATGAGTAATGACAATTTCATTTTGAACTCATTTATACTTTATGTTGCTTGATGCTTTTAAAGAAAACATTGTTAAAGGACATTGTAGGCGGAGATAAACTTTTTATTGAGGGACTATTTCCCGTAAAGCAGGGTTTGGGTCTGTCACTTGCGTTCACCCGAGGCTGGCTGTGCTTCTCCTACAGGGCTGGAGCACGGCTCACTAGTTTTTAAGAACATGCTGCATAAATATGGAATTTGGGTTTCCTACCGAGCCCACAGCAAGGGGTGGGGTGGGCTGGATGTCCCTACAGCTGCTGGGATGGGGCATGTCCTCAATGTGCTTTGCAGTCTCTGCACCACTGCAGGACTGGAATAAATGCCGTGAGGACAACTCGCTGTGCTGCCCGTGGGGCAAGGCTGGGGGTTCAGCCACTTCCCTTGCAGGTCCTGCAGCCCCCAGGGGGGCTGAATCACATCAGGCACCAGCAGAACCACGTGTGGCTCCCAGGTGCTCAGGCAGAGCTGGACCAGTCCATCCAGGTCATGGGCTCAGGTTTGCTCCTACCCAAGTGAATGCAAGTCATTAGCCAGCAAGAGGTACTCCAGAGTCAAGGTCTGGGGGACAGACCCAGCACTTGCAAGATGTTCAAAGCCCCCTCAGACAGGAACCATGCTTCACATCCAGGTCCCGTGTGAACTTCCCAGCCCCAACACACATCCCACTCTGTTTTCCATGGGAGAGTTGGTACCTTCTCACTCATCACCTGCAGCAGAACCAGAGTCAGGCACGGAAAGGACTGGTCTGCTCCACTGTTCACCAGGGCCTGCAGCTCATGCTTCCCCCGGGAACATGAGTTTGAAGATAGTTAATGATTTAATAGTGGTTTTGAGTGCTGATGATGACAAAACAGTGTGCTTAGGCAGCTAAAGAAACACCAGATTCTAAGGTTTATTGTTTAGTGATTTGATACAGCAAGTCTTTTCCATTCTTTAGCAATATACTCTACGCTCCTTTGCTCTAGCGAAACTGCTGAAAGTCTGCCCATACGAGCAGCAGAGCGCGAGGCCCCTGTACGTGGAATATTATTCTGCAAGGAGAGACACCACTTGGTTTCCTGAGACTCGCCCGAGCACGCTAGAGCCCTGCAGCCACAAAATTGAAAGCATCTTTTCCTTTTCTCTGCTTCACTTATAGGAATACCTTGAACTATAGAAACTGCTGGTTTCCCAAAACCATTAATGGGAATCACATCTTCTCTGAGTCAGCTCTCTGCAGCCACAGCTCTCCGGCACACAGCCCCTGCCTCCTGCAAGACATTCTGCTTTTATCCTCTACCAGCTGTTAGCAGTTAGTGAGCGTCAGGCGTTAGTGACTGGGAGGAATGCTGGAAAGGACCCAAGGAGCAGTCGTACACATTTAACAGAGATGGAATCAGTTTAATTCTTATTAGTTAAAGAACTGAAAAGGCTCCAGCTGTGCTCCCCCATATGAATTTCATGTTCCAAGCTCGCTTTCTGAGATGCTTGTAGGGTGAGTCATGGATTTTTTTAAATATGTTAAATATGTTATTTGCTTAATGAGCTCACAGAAGCTTTGACATCTCTGCTCCTGTATTGCACATTTCTGTTGCACACAAAGAAATCCCTAGGTAAATGCTTTATGGCCTCTGGAAGGTGAGAGATGCCAGGAGCAAAGCTACATGTGTCAGCCTAATTTTTCCTCTTTCCTGTTAAGACATCTTGGTCCACCCTGCCCTGGGAGTCCTTTCCTCGTTCAGCACATGGAATCAAACACAGGTAATGCATGAGCAGCTACTCACTATTTTGATGTGTCTGTATTTCTCAGTGGGGGCCCTCATACCATCCATATGCTGTTTCAATCCCTGCTCTGAAAATAACTATTTTTTTCTAATGGTCCTTTTTACAATTCAAGTGCTCCATAAATGTTTACTGAGCTGTTTTCACAACACTTCTCAGAGGTAACAGCCTGTTATCAACCCCACTGAGAGCCCTGAGTTCCACAGACAAAGATCAAAAGGGAATACGCTGCTTTGGGAGCGAGCTGAGTTGTCAGGTTCCCGAGCACTGTACACACTTCCCATGGCAAAGGGCACATGCCCTGCCCAGCAATTCTGATTTCAGCCTCTCACTGCTCTGCCAATGTAGATTTCCTTATGCAGTTGCCCAAGTTATTAAAAACAAGCCCTCCTCCCAAAATTGTACCAAGTTGAATCACATAAACTGGGTTTTTAAGAGGGAAGCAACCTTTTCCTCTCCTGCAGCAGCTTCTCTGCCCCAGGTTGGCAGGAGCAAAAGCAGCAGTAGGTAGTGACAGTGCCAGGGCTGGCACCAGAGCGGTGGGACCCACCTGAACCGGGTCCCTCTCCTCCCCACCTCTGCCCACACACTCCCGTCTCCTTCCTTGGCAGTGCTGCTGCTCCTGGAGCTGGACGAGGAGGAGCTGAAGTAGCCAAAACAAACCAGACACCCCCACGGAGACGGTTTCCAGTTCCCCCGCTGTTCCCAGTGGTTGTGTGAGCGTGGGCACCGTGGGAAGGCAGGGTCAGACTCTGCTGTGGGGGCAGAGGAGCAGGAAGGGCTGAGGCTGGTGCAGGACAGGACTGGGGGGGAACAAGCCCTGCAGGGGATGAGAGACTCACTGTGTCTCTGGGTCCTCAGGAGAGGAGACTGCAGGAGCCAAACTGTAGCAAGTTCATACATCACACAATCAGGAATGTGTATAAACTGAGATTATTATTTTTTTCCAAGTGCTTATAACGCTGCCAAATCTGGACACTTCAGGAAGGGACAAAACTACGTTGTGCTGCCGTGTTCCCCTTCTCTCCACAAAGGGAAGCACAACAAGACAATTCTCCCAACTTTGCTCACTGAATTGGCCAAACCATTTTTTACCAAAGTTTTCCACAAAAGTGTCATGCTGAAGAAGGTGGCTTTTGGGAAAGCTTCATTTCAAAGAGTTAGAGTTTGGGAGAATTACAAGGAAGTGAAAACAGAGAAATGCCAACTACAGTCACCCTAACAGCTCGTGTCACCCGCTCCAGCCCCACGGCTTGCCCCACGGTGCCCCACAGCCATGGGCAATACTGCCTGCATGGCTTAATGTTGGGGCCATACCCCAATCCACTCCAGCCAAGGAGTTTTGTACAGAAATACAGTCCAATAATCAAAAGCAATGCCCTCAGAAATGAACTAGAGCAAAGGAACTTCCCCATCAAATGCCCCCTCTTTCCTCCCAACACATGGGGGGACAAGTTTAGCCATTAGCAGTATATTCAAGTAGCTTCCACTGGGAGTAAGCAGAGCTCTCCTTGAAATAAGGTGTGAAATATACTATTTAAATATTTTCAAGGCACTTATAAAAGGGTCATCAGAGGGTTTTCTGCCTTTTCTGGGTAGATCTGTGAATACTATTTAAGCAGATTCCCAGAGCTAAAATGTGCATCAAGTCCAGCTGGCAGAGACTTTTGAGCATCACGATAATTCCAGTACTGTTTTTTCAATGTTGAACAGGTCTCTCCCTCCAAAATTTACAAGGTCATTTGTGAAACCAAAAGCTTCAAGTAAAAATGGGATGAATTTAATATCTTGCTTCAGGATTTCTAGACCCACCGAAAAGCATTGGGTGGAGGAGAGTTCAGATGGCAGCTCCGAGCTGCCTCCCGGCATCTTCACCGAGCTAAGGCTTTGCCAAGAGTCACCAGAGCCCCGAGGATGGAGAGGTAAGGAACTGGCACAGCCACTGCTCTGGCAGAAACCTGCCCTCTCAGCCCCAGGCACAGCCACTGCTCTGGCAGAAACCTGCCTTCTCTCTCAGCCCTGAGATGGCAGCTCCGAGCTGCCTCCCGGCATCTTCACCGAGCTAAGGCTTTGCCAAGAGTCACCAGAGCCCCGAGGATGGAGAGGTGAGGAACTGGCACAGCCACTGCTCTGGCAGAAACCTGCCCTCTCAGCCCCAGTGCCAGCTCTGCCTGCAGGCTCCTACGGACGTGCCCACAGAAAACCAGACTCACAGAGACAATAATGGAGTATTTCATGCTGGAGCCTTCCCATCTGTTAAGATTTTTCCATCAGTGCCCTGAATTGGGTTGAACTTTCCCTACCGCTCCTTGTTAGGGAAATGGAGCGTCAGCAAGTCAAAACAAAACAAAACAAAATCTATTCTGGAACGAATGCAACCTTTTTTCCTTTCACAGCCAGCCCTGCAATGCTGCGGTGGGATTGTTCCATCTGCCCCAGGGACAAAAGCTTTTCTTTCTGGTCTTCTATTTCTGTTTACTACATTTTATTGCCTTTGCCTGCCTTTGTATTTATACAGCCCAGGAATATGGTATTTTCCTGTTGCCATATTCTAGTTTTCAAGCTTTTAGAATTACCCAGGTATGGGTAACAAATAACAGTGAGTTATACAGTAGCTGTTTCAAGAAAGTGCTCTCAGCTTCTTTTGTTTTCCCAAGATGCTGCTCAATAAATTCTCCCCATAAATACATGCTGATTCTGCATGGACCCTATGCACGTGAAGAATGGGCCCAGAGGAAAGTCCAAAAGAGGGTCACTTCAAGAAGAACGGTTTCACAGCCTCATTTTCAAGGCCTGGAACAGGACTCTGTGCCCCTGTTTCCATTCTCAGCCACATTTCACTCAGGCTGTGAAACCCCTTGGTGAATCACTCAGTTTATCTGTGCTTCACCTTCCTTTCTGAACAAAAAAAAAAAAAGAGGTTAAAATATTTACCAGTACTTGCCAAGTGCTTTGGCATTCTGAGAGAAAGGGTACTTGGGAAATGCAAAGTCTAACCCTTGGCAGTGGACAGTTGGGTAATACCCAGAGGGTGCCATCACACAGAGTAGGTAAATATACACGTGCAGCTCACAGCAGTTACAGTGACTGGTTTTGAGCCCAGGACAAGCTGTAGGTGGTCAGGGAGTTGTGTTTCTCTGCACAGGGGGACCCCAGGTCAAACATCTTCAGGCACAAAGAACCGGAATGAGATGCTACAGTCTCCTCAATGTCTGAACGGGACTGCACCGCACTTTGCATCTCCCCAGAAAACAACTGCAGCAACATTTAAAAATAAATTTCAGCTGCCTGTTAATTGGCAACAGGACATCAGAAGCTGATCTTTGTCACACTGTTATCCTGTGTTGTGCTGTATAACACCCGCCTGCAACACAAGGGAGCGTCTCGTGATTTTCTGTGAAGGAGCTGATAGTGTTGGATGGGCTTTGCAACACAAGGGAGCGTCTCGTGATTTTCTGCAAAGGAGCTGATAGTGTTGGATGGGCAGTAGGGACCAGAATCAAGACTTAAAGCATTGCCATTTTTATACTAGTGGCTACTTTTTAAGGTTCTGCCTATACCAAAAGTTAAATTTAAAAAAAATAATCTGTGAGTACTCTAAAATGTCAAGAAAGGAGCTGAAGAATCACAAACGCATGAACACAAGACCAGCCTTGAGGCTGAAGCTGCAGTGTCACAGCAGATGAGAGCCACTCAGACTGTGCCACCGCTGACAGGGACAGACCAGCTCTGACCTACTGACCCCCCAACCCCATTTCTCTGCACCTTCGTTCACCCCAGCACCAGTGGCCACCCAGGGAACAAGCCGATCAACTTTGAGGTGAGCGCTGCTTTGAGAAGGTGATGTGGCCACATGGTCTCCAGAGCTCCCTACATTTTCCCAACTCATGCGGTGGAAAACTCACCACTACATGGTCACAGTCAGTTCTTTGAGCTGTTGAGGCAAATCACAACTCACACAGCTAACTGAATGCCACCAACAGGGCAAGAGGGGAGACACTGCTGGAGGATGTGGGCAGCAGAGCAGAACCTCTTCAAAGGCATCGTGGTCTCAGCCCGCCTTAAGCCAACAGCTGAAAAGGGACAACTTCCTGCCACCAACTCCAGGGTAACGGGTCTCCACTGTCTCAAATCAGCCTCACCCATGTTCTTTTCCACAGAACACATCTATCTTGGCTAAAGGCACATGCTAACCTCAAATCAGGAGCTTTCAGTAAATTCCAAACAGAAGCAACATCCAACTTTTATAATGAGGACAACGCTAGGAAGGGAATAAACAGTTCTGTAGAGGGAAAGAGCAAAATTTGCACAAATGTGTCAGTGTTGCTAATGAATCCTTAACCTTTGCAAGTATCTGAAACTTGAGGGATTGTGACCCTTTAAAGCCAAATGTTCACGTACCAGTACATGCAATGGAAAAGAGATTCTCACCCTTACTTTGTGCGATTGTAGTGACCAGGGGTTTGCAAAGAGCCTGCTTGGGGCTTCCAAGAGCTAGCAATACAAGACATACTGAGAAGCAGCACAGAAACGTACCTGGTAGATTAGACCTGGGAAAAGAAGCCCGATTTATTTTTTTGATTGACCCTTGTTTGCATGTTTGCAGTGACAGATAATTCACATCTAATTTTAACAGCTGGGCCTAGAGGGCTGACACTGGACAAACACAACTTTTCATTCTGATAATGAAAAATTAAACATGACCGTGTGAACAAAACGGCGGTGTGTGTGTGGAAGCAGCTGCTGAGGACTTACCTACTCCTGCTGGTCTGGTGATCTTTGGTGAGGCTCGCTTTGGGGAAGATTCGGGGTGCGGGGCCACAGGCTGCACTGGCCGCGTCTGCTTGGCTGCCAGCTTCTTCAGGCTCACTTGCCTCTTGTCAAACATTTCTTGTACATCTTCTAGTTTCTGTAGAATTCTTTGGGCGTTGGCCTAGGCAAAGAAGAGGCAAACAACGGACGGTTGTCAGTGCTGGACCGAGCAACTTCAGAAAGGACGTGTGTTACCCTCTTAGACTAGAGCTGAAGATCACTCTATGCTGCAGTTTGATGCACCCAGCCCATGTGCTGCCACAGAGCTTGGTGACACCAAGCAGCACATGTTGACCCTGAGCAGCACATGGTGACCCTTGCAGTCTTTCTAGCACCACCCTGAAGAAAATCACCAATATGTTCCATGACTACTCATCCGAGAAAGACATCCTGCCCCAAGTGCTCCCCTTGGTGCCCTTGTGGGGTATGGAGAGGTGTGTTTGAGCAGACCCAGTGCACTCACTCGTACAAGGCCAGTGGTAATTCTGAAATTCTAAGTGAGTGCCTGCACATCTGAGGGGTTTTACCTTTATTTCAGGGGTGAGGATCATGTCAAACTGATTGTAGAACTCCTTCGGGTTGGAGAGCTGGTGCTCCTTGGCTGTTACCAGGAACTTCTCAATCTCAACGAGTGCAGTTTCAGCTCCCTCTTGTGACTGGCACTTGTCCACAGCTTGGGAAGCCAAGAGGTAGATTCCAGCTTCACACCATTGGCTTGCCTTTAAAGAAAAACGGGGCAAGAAGGACTCCATCATGTCCACGTTGGGAAGTGTTGCTCCTGCTCCATGAAATACAGATTTGCCCTAACGTGTCACTACAGGGAACGGAAGTCCCTTGGTAGCACCCAATAGTTCCTGGCCACAAGTCGCCCCACCTCGAGATGCAGAACAATAGTGAGTTCAGTTCAGCTCCTATGGGCCATCTGGGCCAGTAACACCTAAAATAATAATATTCTAAGCCAAGAGGAGAAGTGTTGCTGCACATCGACTCTGTCAGCTGTACTACCTCATTTCGGTGTTCAGTCACACAACTATCCAGAACCCGAAATGAGTATTTGACCCATATCAAAACTCCCCAAAGCTGCTTAGGCCTATAAAACTCAGTTAAAAATATTCCAAAGCAGGCTTTTACCGTAAAACATTCGGTAATTCCTGTTTCAGATGAGGCTGGAATAGCACACAGACATTCTCAAAGCATTTAGCTTGCTATTCTGGCAAGGTCAGAGAAAGTGAAACAACTGAATAAGCAGTAAATCGTTCATTTTTAAGCACTGGAATGTGTTTGGTTCTCTTTTCAAATTTAGGCCTTGCTCAATTTTTTTCTTCGTTTCATTTCCTACTTTTCATCATTTTAAGACCATAATTATGGGAAGCTACTGCTCCAATTTTTATAGTAACAGTTTCTGGATGAAATGGTGAAAAAAAGGAATACATGCTTTTTCTCTTCATCCAAATTACCTGAGCTTATGCAAACATTAATCTTCAGGACAACCTTAACCAGGGCTGTTCTCAGAGAAGGTTCACTCACCTTATCTAACTGCTTGTGCAGCTCAAGAGACTTTCCCAAAATATCATACTTTTTCTTGGTCTCATTGGTAAAGTCATCACAAATACGCCTGAGTTCAACACACTTTGGTCTAATGGAGTCAACTGCATAATGATTGTTTTGGATGAGCTGTTCTCCATGGAGAGCTAGAGACTGGGCCTTCTCCAAAGGTTCCTAGGAAATTCATGAGAAAAAAATCCAAAGTTAGACCTTAAAATGACACACGCTAGAGACTGGGCCTTCTCCAAAGGTTCCTGGGAAATTCATGAGAAAAAATCCAAAGTTAGACCTTAAAACGACACACACAATAAAGACATCTCTGTAACCCCAGGTGCAGCCTGGAGGTGAAGGTCTGAGATATTGATCCAGCTGATATGTCTGTCTTTGTGAGGCCAGTTTTGACTATGTCTCACAGTGAAGACCATCTTCATTGTCAGTGAGTGTATTGAAACACAAGAGGTTCCATCTAAACACCAGGAAACACTTCTTTTACCGTGAGGATGACCGAGCACTGGAACAGGTTGCCCAGAGAGGCTGTGGAGTCTCCATCCCTGAAGATACTCTAAAGCCATCTCGGCAACCTGCTCTTGGTGGCCCTCCTTGGTCAGGGCTGTCGAACAAGGTGACCTCCAGAGGTCCCTTCTGTCCTTAATCACTCTGTGGTAACTGTGATTCTCTCCGTATATGGCACCTTCTTTCTCACATACAGGGGACATTCATTATACAGGGTTTCTTCCTAAACACCAGGAAACACTTCTTTTACCGTGTGGATGACTGAGCACTGGAACAGGTTGCCTAGAGAGGTTGTGGAGTCGCCATCCCTGAAGATACTCTAAAGCCATCTGGGCAACCTGCCCTTGGTGGCCCTGCTTGGTCAGGGCTGTCGAACAAGGTGACCTCCAGAGGTCCCTTCTGTCCTTAATCACTCTGTGGTAACTGTGATTCTCTCCGTATATGGCACCTTCTTTCTCACATACAGGGGACATTCATTATACAGGGTTTCTTCCCTGCAAAGTTCCCAATAATCAAAAACCTATTATTTTCTTCACTCACTAATTGCCAGGTTTCCAGATACATTTTGGGAAACTCTTGAGATCCTTTCCCTGCAAAGTTCCCAATAATCAAAAACCTTATTATTTTTTTCACTTGTTAATTGCCAGGTTTCCAGATACATTATGGGAAACTCTTGAGACCCTGCTGACTGAGCACAATTGATAAGCTCAGTCACACAGGATGAAGTTAGAGGTGGGTATTGGGCCAGAGCACACCGTGATCCGTTACGTGGTGTGACAGGGGAAGGAAAATGCACTTTACTGTAACTTTTACTCCTATAGGCTTCTGCAGAAGATGCAGAAGATTTCTAAATCTTAACCCTATTCTCAAAAAAGGTGACTATCAGCTTTTCCATTTGTTCATGTGCATCACCCTCTGAGTCACCTTACTCGTTTGTTCAATGCTCTCTAAGAACACTAACTGAGATGTTTCTCTCGGCTGCCAGCTGAGGGAATTACAAAGGCCAAAGGCCTGGGAAAGAGAGGTGTTTTACTGTTTGTTCCTCAGAGTGTTCTGAGTCTGAATGGAATGGTCTTAAAGGTTCTCTGGCCAAGGTAACCTGTTGAGTATTCTGAGCTTTTCAGATTCCAGAGATAGACTTAACCTTTCCTGAGGGTCTCTTCCAGCCTAGATAATTCTGTGATAATTCTGGTTTGAAATACTGATTTTTGAGCTGGATTCTAGCTTTCCAAGTAACCAACTGGAACTACTGGGTCTGAACAACTCTGCTTTCTGGCAATTACGATCTGAGTTTCACAATTTAAAGTAATGACTCACAAGAAGAGAGTGAGTGTGATGCAAGGACAGTGACAGAGCAGTGTCTAGAGGCTGATGTCTATGGCACTCAATAGAGGATTGGAGCTGCTAACCTGTCCTTTCTCTTCCAGGTGTTTCTGTTCCCGGAGGAGATGCTCCACTCGAGTCACGCTGTCTCCAATGTCAGCAAAACCTGCTTGTCCTTCCATGAGATTATCCAATGCCAGTTTTACCTAAAAAACAACAACAAAACCGTAAAACAAAAAACCCCCATCTCAAACCCCATTACAGGATACTCATAAAATTATAACAAATCTATGGCTTCTAAACACTCGCCTACATCTTTTAGAAGAGTGCATCTCAAGTTCAGTCTTTCAGCTTGTTCCAAAGTGGAAAAGCCAAGGAATAAAGCAACAACCAACTGTTCTTCAAAGAGTTCTTCCACTTCTCACTGTTTATTTAGGCACATGCAGTTTCAAAGATCTGTAACCCAGAGCCCACAGGGCTCCAGGATCTGTGCCACTCCAGCCTCTGGGCTGACAGTTGGCCTTTCTGAAGCATGTTCTGCTGGCTCTGGTGGGATCAGCAACTCACTGTCACAGAACCAGCCACATTTGGTGACATCACACATAAATGCAAAACAATTTATCAAGAAGTTGGTGTTTCACAGCAGCCTGTGCCTCATTCCAGGGCTGTAAGACATCTGAGAGCTGGCAAGAATTTAACTTTTGAATATCCCTGTCCTATTTCATAAGGAAGGGCTTCTCTCCCAGCCTCCTTTTTGGACTGTCAGTATATGCTAAGTTCGGGTAAAAATTGACCTTATTTACCAGAGAAGGCAAGACAGAAGGAACACATGAAATACCTCTCTGAAATCATGCTCAAAGTGTCGCAGCTGCAGGCACTGTTCCAGTTTTAGGTGATGCTTGGTCCAAAATTGATCAAAAGCCTTTTCCGTTTCATCCAACTGAGCCAGTAACCTGTTAAGAATTACAGTGAAAAGAACTTATTTCCTACAGTTCATGTCTTTTAGGTGACACCGACTGAAGAAGGGCAGGAAGCAGAGCAGGGAGACAGCAGGGAGCCTGCACCCAGGTACAAAGGCTCTGGGTCAACCTTCCCTTCAGCCAAAGAGAATGACCTGTGCCGTGGGACAGGCAGGAGTGTGACACTGAGTGACAACCCCCCCATGGCAGCCACAGTCCTGCCTCCCACCCTGAGGCAGGAAGACAGAGCCCTTCCAGGTGCTGGCAGCCACAGACAGCCCTCTCTCCTGAGCCTCCCCCAGCTCTTCACAGACCCTTCACCCCGGGCTAACGCAGGGGAGTGCGATGCAGTTATTATTTTAAGGAATGTTTAAAGCATAACTCTACAACGTGCTCATTTTCTTCACCCAGAAGAAAAGGCAGAATCATTTTTCCCAGTCCATTACAAGCAATGGGTTAGGAGCCCCTGACGCCTCCCATGGACACTGATTCTCTCTCTGTAAATGGCAAAACATTCATTAACAAAGAAATTAGTATCAGTGTCTGGAGTTAAATGTCTGACACCAGACCAGCAAGTCACCCCCACGGTCTCTCAATGCTCTATTAATTATATTACAATGAGGGACAGTTTAAAGAGAAAAAATAATTAAAATACAGTTTTCTTGGAATATTCTGTATTTGGGTAGCTGGGCCCCCTGTGGCAGGCAGGGGACCAGGGCTCAGCTCCTGCAGCCCCAGGGAGTGCTAGAATCACCACGTTTTTGGGGCACACATCAATGTAGAACAGTTTAAAGAGAAAAAATAATTACAGTTTTCTTGGAATATTCTGTATTTGGGTAGCTGGGCCCCCTGTGGCAGGCAGGGGACCAGGGCTCAGCTCCTGCAGCCCCAGGGAGTGCTAGAATCACCACGTTTTTGGGGCACACATCAATAGCTCCCTCCTATTCCTCTCAAAAAAAATTTAAAAAGTTCTGTTTTCAATCTATCCCTGAAAAACATGTTTTTAATCAAAGCTAGCTGTTGAATTCAAGATGAATTCGCAAATTCCTTTGGGATGACTGTTTAAAGGATTTTAAAAGTATTCAGTGAAAAACATCAGCTCAGCTTTACTTTGGGCAGCTTTGTTCCCCGTGAATGCAGACGGGCTCAGACACCAGCGGGACAGTTCTCTCTCCACAGCACCACGTGGCACAGCAGAAACTTCTACAGGGGGCCAAAAAGCTCCGTGCTAACAGCCAGCCTTGCAGGAAGGAAAAGGGGTTTCTCTTCTACAGGGGGCCAAAAAGCTCCGTGCTCACAGCCAGCCTTGCAGGAAGAAAAAGGGGTTTCTCTCTCTCTCTGCAGCTGCGGAGGGGGATGTTTCAGAAGATGATCTTCATCTGCCCCTCCTGCACCATTTCCAGAGACACGCACCAGCACGTACCCTCTCATCTCACGTGGACGCAGACACCACGATCTAACCAAGCTGTGAAAGCTTGGAGAACATACACCTTATGGGAAAAGTCAGTCCCACATTAAATCTTCAGCCAGGTAGGTGGTGGGCCAAGCAAAAATTACCAGGAAATTCAGGACTTGTTTGAACTTGCCTTGACACTTTAATCAAATATCTTCCTCAAAGGTACTCCCTTCCCCGAGTTACCCGGCCAAGAAATCCTGAAGAGCTGAACCAGGGGGAATTTACAGCCAGCAGATTTAAATAATTTAAGTTACACTTGCATTTCTTAGGAATAAATCAGCGACTCGCACAAGGTAATCCAGCTTCACCGACCTCTCTACTGTTGCCACGTTCTCCAGTTCGTCAGGGCTGAGCTTGCTGTTGGCGCTGCGGGTGACCGGCTCCCTGATGCAGGTCAGCAGGGTGGCCCCCTGCTTCACAGCCAGCTTCAGCTCGTCCTGCAGGACACAGGCCACACAAATGGTCAGTACTTATTCGAGTAACACCTCTCTTAGGTGGACAAGGCAGTGATGCTAAAGGAGGATCCTTTCATCGGTGTTACGTACCCGGAACAAAATATAAACACTTAGTAAAGACGATATGTTTTTCTAGAAATGAAGAGACTAAATCTATTCACTTTGAATATATCTATATTTCTGAGAAAAGGAACGGTATATAACCCCACAGCAGATTGCATTTCTGAGCAGGCAATTTGCAGAATAACGTATTCTACCACTAACAATGTGTGCCACAGATCACCCCATCAGTGAGGGGCTGTGCTGAGAACTCGCCCTTCTTAATGGAGTTTCCTCCAGTGGCACGGCGACACGCTGAGCTGTGGTACTCAGCTGTCCAGGAGCCAGCCACAGAAGAAGCTGCCTGCCCACCACGAAAGATGAGAATCATAAAATCATAGAATCATCTCGGTTGGAAGGAACCTTAAAGTTCATCTAGTCCAACCATCAACCTAACTCTGACAAAAAAATAAGAAATAAAAATCACTAAACCATATTCCTGAGGACCATGTCAACCCATCTTTTGAACGCCTCCAGGGATGGTGCCTCAATCATTTCCCTGGGCAGCCTATTCCAATGCTTGATAACCCTTTTGGTGAAGAAATGAAGAGGAAAATGAGGCTCAAACACTAATGTGTCCCCGCAGCACTGCACATTCTCACATAAAACTTGCTCTTGTGCTAATGTAGCTTAAGCAGGATTTTTTTCTCTTGTGTTTAACCTCAGGTGCTTGTGGACAGCAGTAACATTGTCTCCTGAGCATCACTCTGCAAAGCTAAACTTGCTAAACTTTAAAGCTTTTGTTTTAAACAACAAAACAACAGTCATATCTCATTAGATCCCTCTGTCTGTTCCTGGATTACCCTCACAGATGTTCTCCACATCTGCTCCAGTGGGAGCATCCTTTCTGATGAACTCTTCACCAGGAGCCCATGATATTCCAGCAATGTTCCATGTGCTCTCCTGCAGTAGAAGAGACATTTCCCTGTTCTATTGTTCCTGAAACTGTAATAAGTCCTTTTCCATGGTTGAACCAAATCGACTTCCTGAACCCAGGTTTCTCTCCTCAGTAGTTTCCAGACAATGCACTGGAAGAGGCTGCCCAGGGAGGTGGTGGAGTCTCCTTCTCTGGAGACATTCCAAACCCACCTGGACACGTTCCTGTGCAACCTGCTCTGGGTGGAACTGCTCTGGCAGGGGGTTGGACTAGATGATGTCCAGAGGTCCCTTCCAACCCCACAGCATTCTGTGATTGTGTGACTCCCAAATAATAGCAGAAGGTTTTGTGAAATCATGAGTCATATATTACACTGATGGCGCTGTCATGAGCTAACATTCACCTTCAGCTTGCCGTGGTGGTCTGTGTGTGCGGAGAGCAGCTCCTCCGTGCACTGCACGTCGTTGGGAAGTTCAGTCTCTGCGAGGTCTGTTCCAAAGCTCTGCAGCATCTGTGCTGTTGTTTTTACTGTCATTGCAAAGTTTTCAATAGCCTGGAAAAGCAAGAGCATAAAGTCACAGACTGGTTACTTGCCCTTAGCCCTTTAACACCACCTAGTCCTTCAGGCGCACAGTGCTGCAAGCATTACACGCCTGTAAAGCTGTCATGTTGCCCTTTTTGGGGCTAGAAATTAAATCCTGTGTCACAAATGATCTTTCCACAGGCCTACAAGTATTAGCACCTCCAGGAACCAGCTGGGGAAGTCCCAGAGCTTAACAGACATAATGAAACCACAGAGGACACCAGCTTCAAAGCCAGGACTGGAACTTCAGATCCTCTGCCCATGCTTGCTGGGAAATTCTGCTGCAAAATTTTAATTAAAGCCTTATTTAAGTAGAGGAGACTCTGAAAGTACATAGGGCAAAACTTTTTTATGAATATATATTTATACAGCTGTTTTTCACTCCGCAGCAATCTGTCTTTCCCCTGACTTTGGGAAATGCACATCTGGGTCCTGCCTGGCTGCACCAGCTGCAGTCCCTGCCTTGCTCACATTGGTGCCCAAATACAAGGGCCACTTACTGCAAATACAGTCAAACTGCATGAATTCATCCCAGCATTGCTGTTTCTTTATCACCTGTGTGCACCAACACAAAACCTGTCAGAAACCTGGGGTTCTACTGAAGAAAGGGGAAGTGAGGGAGGTATAAAAACAATTTTGCCTTCTTTGAGTAGAATATATTGTTCAGACTTGTGAGATGGGATTAAAACCTTTGTATCTAGTAGCAAGTAACGGCATGGGATGTCTTTGCATGATTGTGCCCCATTTGCTTTAGAAATAGGACTGTATTGTCCTCTATAGCTCTTTATTCTTTACCCCACCCAATGGTTTGGGTCACTGAACAGCACTAGGGGTGCTCCCGCATCCAGGCGGACACTGCACAGTTGTATTTGTAAAGTCTTTCTGCCTTCCCACAATCACTAACTGTCCTTTGGTTACTCAAAAGAAGACCCAGCTGGAGCACATGTTTACGTAGCACAGGAATGAAAACATAGCAAAATAAAATCTACTGTCTTGAGTAGTTTTTGTCTCTTACAAACATGGGACATAATCATTAAAGGGAGACTCTTGACTTTTGATTCGGTGCTAAAGTGTATGTTCCACTTCAACCATGAGCTGAAGGCCTACGGATCTCATCAGTTATTCAAAAGCTAAGAATGTGCCAAAGGGCCCTGCTGAGTAAGACCACTATGATGCTGTTAGACCCTAGTCCAGGTCACGGTGAGATACAAATGACTACTTCTATTGCAAACTTCTGGGGAATTTACCCTCCCCATGCGAGTCATGGATTTCCTCTTCCATGAATCCCTAGCAGACCCTGTGGGCTGAAACGCAGTCTGAGGAATTACTACTTCATGGTTGCTCTCCATCCGTCACCTGGACAGTTCTGGGTGTAGGTGTGTGTAAGAAGAGCACCAGGACTCACCGTGCGGTGGTGGATCCACTGGCTGTGCCCATACTCCAGGGTTCCCCCCAGCTCCCGCGTCAGCTGGCTTTTGTCGATGTAGCCGTGCAGGTCGGAGACGGAATTCAACATGATGATCTGAAACCAATCCAAGCACAAGGGACTGAGAGAAACAGCAAGCCCTTTCCGTCATTGCTCCGAGGATCTGGCTTTGCCTCAAGCACGTATGGCCCAGCTGCAGTTCCACCACAGGCAATAAGTCCCCGCCACGTATTTGTTCACACGATGGCCACAGTTTATTTCCACTAGATTTTGCCTTCTCAACATGTACATGGCTGTTCTTGAACTAACCAGGATTTGTCCTCTTCTTGCTCCTGGCTAGGCTGAGGATGCCGTCAGCTTGTATATGCACCAAGAGCAAAAGTGTGGTATTTATAACGTTCACACAAGCTTCGTTAAATAATTCCTATATTTTCCAGATAGCTGTTATTTACAGATTTATGGAGGAGTACCCTTACTGCAAAAGCCTTAGCAACAAAGCAGTTAACTGCTTAACTGTTTAGCCTTACTAAAGCCTTAACTGCTTTGTAGCTCTTCCCCATCAGAGAGGCCACTGACAACTTGGACATCTTTTAATACCCCAAACTTCCCTGAAACTACAGAGGAACCCCATTGGGCCTTTTTTTTTTAATATATATATGGACATCTTTTAATACCCCAAACTTCCCTGAAACTACAGAGGAACCCCATTGTGCCTTTTTTTTTTATATATTTTTTTTGGAATATGTTTGGTTTAACCTGACACACTCAGCAGCAGCCACAAAGCAAACCTATGAATATTGCCAGCTGTGGCACTACCCAGCAGGGCAACAGTTTTCACCCTGCAGGCAGCTCTGCAGGAGAAAGCCCAGGAGCAACCCAACATCCACCCAAGAAGCCAACCCTAGAGAGTATCAGCATCTCCTGTGCATCCCACCAGGCTGAAGACAGCCACGCTCAGGATGCTGGAGAACACAAGTGAGGGGCAGTTTAGAAAAGGAGGGTCAGCAAGGAACACAGAGCTGTGGTGGGGCTGCTTCACGATGGCTTAGGCCGTCTGAAAGAAGTCACAGTCTACACGGGCCAAAGAAGTGCCTGCTCTGGACAGACTGTCCAGCCTTTTGTGTAGGATATGAGGATGTTTGAATTCTCAGATGAACCCTGGTGTGTCTCCAATATTTCTGTACCTTCCTCCTGGATAATGTTATTTAATCAAATAACCATCCCAATAGACATTTAGCTCAGATTTTGTTAACCACATTTGTATGTCAATAAGTCATATAAATCCTGCCCTTCCTTGTGCTGTCTTGTTTATTATTTCAGCCTCTATTTCCTGCTCCTGTTTGATCTTTGGCTTCTACTCAATGCAGTGTTGATTTAACCCATCAGATCTATTTTACTGAACATATTAGCAGTGTGATACTCAGATAAACTGTTAAACAAACACTTCCTTTAACAAATATGCACCATATCCCTGAAGCCCCTGTTCAGTGTTGATGTCCTGGCCCTGACTCACGTGTAGGTGTGATGGACCATGGCCCAGTTGTATTAATGTTGTCGGAGGGCCAAACGCACAATGAGCAATCAACCTGCAAACAATGTAAAGGATGATGTTGGCGTTAAAGATGGGTGCTGATACCAAATTCCTTGAGTAAGGGTATCTCCCACGGGACAGAACCCTGCCCTGTTTCATGCTTGGCTCGTAGGATGCTGTTTTCAGTGGGGACACACAGATGCTGCTCTCAGTAACCTGCCCGCTCTGAAACTGGGCTGCTCAGGGGCACGATCTTTCCAGGATGGGCTGCAAACACAGCTGAAAGGTCCCTCCAGAGAGCACGGCAGGACCCCAGGAACTGCAGAGACCTTCAGCACAACCCTGAGCGAGCTACAGCAGCCCCAGACACACGTGCACAGCCTGCACATCAACCTGAGCGGCCACCTCCAGGTACGTGGGTGGGAGGTCGGCAGATCCAGCACCGAGCACCTCATGCTCTTGGTTTCTGCAAGACTGCCCTCTAAGAGCTCTGTGGACAAACCCAAGACAGCTCAAAATCTGAGTCACCAAGAAGACCCCAAACAAAACCCATGTTTTGATTTTCCTGCCTGTAAGAAAGGTAAGTTGCTATTTAATATTTAATGCAGCGCCTGACCCCTGCCTAGAATTAACATCTCTTCCAACTTTGATGGTTTCATTTCAAGTTGGATTTGAAATGCAACGCCGGCATAAAATAAATTACTAAAAGTATAGAAGATGATGAATTGCTAGAAAACGCTAGTCCTTGATGAAGCTGTCTCTTCTGGGCTGTAGTCACTAGTACAACAGTTGCTATGGTAACAGATTGTGGCTTACTAAATACAGGAACATCCATTTTTCAACGTGAAATAAAATTAAAAGATTTTGTTTTGTAATCAAACATACATTTTTATATCAATTTTGCATTTTAAAAGCAACCTTTGCCAAATTACAGTCAGCGTTACAATTTAATCCTCAATAACCAAATGAATATTCAGGAATCCTTTTCTGTAGGGACTGTAATAAATGGGCTGCTGTCTCTTACTTCCACCTCTTAAACACCTGAACTTCAGACTCTGGAAGTGACAGAGCTGGAATTCCTTGAAGGGGAGCCATGGGTCTTTGGCAAAACAGTCCTATGAAATCACTCCAGTAAAGTCATTGTGGAACACAGTACGAGTCTGTCCCAGGATGAAATAACATTAATAATCATCATTCAAGTTTATTTATAAAACACTTTGAAACCACATGTAAACATGTAGCTAGGAACAGCTCTCATAGAATAATAAAAAACTTTGACTCTCAGGATTGGTAACATGAACCTCATGAACCCACAGAATATGCTGAGTGCAGATAAAAGGAAGTAAAAACCGAAGTTTGACTTTGAGGGCGTGGGGGCAATAGAAGGCATTAAGAGCAGGCAGTGCTGCGTGAGCACTGCAGAGGGGCACCCTCAGATCAACAGCAGCCCCATGGATAACACATAAACCAGCACAGAATTCAGCCCTGGCCTTGCACTGCTCTGTAGTCCTAAATAATTCTCTTTATCACTGGAGTGAGAAGATCTACCTCTGCCTACAGCAGGGGAACACGTCAATACTTAAAACCCAGGTCACGTTTTGTAGCTACACTGACCTTCCACGTGGGAACACATCCATTAAACACTGTGAAGCATCCACTGGTGATTAGCTCTTTGGCGTGACTATTGTATACACCACACAAACCCAGCTCAAAGGCCCCAGTTGTCACTTGCAATCAAAACCCAGTTACTGGGTTATGGGAAACTGCTGGCACCTCGGAACTGCAGACATGGAGATAAAGAAAAGACATGGACCAGAAAAAATGCATGCTTACCGGTACCTTCATTTTAAAGTCATCTCGATAGAGCTTAATGCCAATGTCAGCGATGGTCCTTTGGATGAAGCGGGAGGGTCGCAGCACAAACACCAGCTGCAGGTTCCCTGGAAACGCTCCCTGCAAGAGAGAGAGCACCAGTAGAAGACACAACTCTGCCTTAAGGAAGGCCAAGGGAAAGTTCAGCCAAGTCTTTCCTAGCGGGAGCAAAGCAGGTAGGACTTGCTGAACCTTGCTCAGTCCAGCTGCTAATTAATAACATCTGCTGGGCCACGTGCCCATCACCAATGTCTCCAAAGCCACCAGAGAGAGTTGATTGCACTGCACTGCTCTCTCACAGGGATTGCTTTTGTTGCTAGCTCATGCACTGCTTTCTTATTGCTTGCCCATAGACTGCCTCCTGATATGGATTTAGCACAGACCCCTGAAGTTTCTGCCGCAGAGCCCTCCTCCCCCGGATCTGAACCACAAATGGGGTTTCCCATCTTTTAAGGCTGCAGACACCAGAGGGCAAAACCGGCTCCCTACAAGAAACTGGCTGCCCACGCTGGACTTGGTGGGAGAAGCTGGTGGCACAGATGAATTCCCCAGGCTGACTACCTTCTCACTCTGGAAAGGGTCTTATAAGGGCTAAAAACCTCACATATTTCCCCCTGCTCCTCACAGGCACTCAACACATCCATCCGCCTGGCCCTGTCTGCAACACCCAGCCTACATCTCTCACACTCCTCTGAGCCCATCAAGCACAAAAAAAAGAACAATTTATAGAAGAGAGCACCTAAAAAGAACTGAGAACTAAAAGCAATGCTCCTCTGAGCCCATCAAGCACAAAAAAAAGGAACAATTTCTAGAAGAGAGCACCTAAAACGAACTGAGAACTAAAAGCAATTCTGCCTGAATTCCTTGAAAGAACTTAAAGTCACCTTGGTCATCCCTCCATCCTGCACCTCTGCGTACAAGCACTTGCTCCTCACACCACACGTTCCTGGTAATGGGTGGCTAAACCCAGCTGCTTTTGTTAGCACCGAAAATCAGCGCTTAGCTCTGACTTTTGTTAATGAGATATAACAAGCCATTAAGAGCTTCTGCCAGAGCTACCACACAAACACTAAAAGCAATTCTGCCTGAATTCCTTGAAAGAACTTAAAGTCACCTTGGTCATCCCTCCATCCTGCACCTCTGCGTACAAGCACTTGCTCCTCACACCACACGTTCCTGGTAATGGGTGGCTAAACCCAGCTGCTTTTGTTAGCACCGAAAATCAGCGCTTAGCTCTGACTTTTGTTAATGAGATATAACAAGCCATTAAGAGCTTCTGCCAGAGATCACTCACTACCATGCAAACATGAGTCCCCTGGGATGGGTTTCCATCCTAAGCAGGCCACTGGTCCATGCTCAGGAGGGTACCTCTGCTCCGCTCCCCTGGGAACCAACTTCAAATTACTAGACTTTATATTGCAGTCAACCCAGCAAATAAGGAATTTGCCATCATTCAGCAGTAAACCAGGCTGTGGAATTTGTCACTGCAGCTTCCTCCCTCCCTTATTTAACACTCATGAGCTTCAGGGCAGGGGAGGATCTGCATCCACAGCCAGAAAATGGGAACTAAAAATGAGCACAGGAGACTCTGCATCCTGTGCCGAAGGTTCAACAGATAGTTTTAATTTCTAGAAGATAAATAACAAAAGCAAGCACTTACTGCTATCCGTGTCAGGGATGCCTTGACTGCGCTCCATTTGTCCCGTCGTCTGTCTATGATGATGATGAACCCGATGCTGGCAGCCTCCAGACTGCAAAACAGAGGAGAGGAGCGCGCTGGGCGAGAGGGAGATCCTGCCGCGCCAAGGCAGCGCGCTGCAGCACAGCAGCCTCCCTCACAGCCCCCGCTAAACCCATCCTGAAAACGCAACCTACAGTGGAAAGAATGAATATTTGGCAGAAATTCACATGAAAACTAAAGGCAGCAAATTTCCTCTTCCCAGCATAGGGCCAGCAGCTTACACAAAACAGGAATGTTTTATCTGCTGAATCTCTCGGCTCCTCTGCTATTCTGCTGCCACATCCAGGGGATAGGAATAGTTCAGCATCATGAATTACGCTGGGCTCTGTCGAAGGCAAAACACTCAGAACTTGTTTTCTCTGCCAAACAATCCAGTTGTCAGACACCCCGCTCCAGCCTCCCTTCTCCAGGAACGCTGACATCCGACAAGGGAGCCAGCGTCTCCCTGCTCTCCCCACCTTGCTGGGTACACGGTGCCCCAGGAGTCCTGGGAGACAAAGCAGGAACTGAAGAGCTTTTTCCTGCCAAACACAAACTGGTTCTAGGGTTGCAAGTCATTCAAAAGTGTCCTTTTACCATATTGGCTAGAATAGCAGTTACTGTTCCTTCTCAGTACTTTTCAAGGAGGATCTATGGGGCACTGATTTGATGCTCCATCCCCACCTATGTAGACCTCATAAATATCCTGTCTCCTCCCTCAAAATCCCCACGTTGATGTGCAGGGCTTTGGTGGGACTGCTCTACTCTCTGCCTTCCAGGAGTGCTCACAGTCGGACAGAAGGCCTTGGAAGTTAACAAGCACACACTGAGAAACATCTTCAGAAAATTCACTCCAGCAGGATGGCCCAGTCAGCTCTGGGCAAATCGGAGCCAGGCAGAGAGAATATACATGTTATCATAATCAAAGGACATACTGCAATCAAACACCTAATTACAGGTGTCTCTTTAATATGCTTTATATAATTTTGACATCCATGTTAACTTTTGAGATCCATGTTAAAGCAGCAGGAAGATGGGAATGTAAGAGGATGTAATTTGAATCAAACAGATCACCAAAATACAGCCTCTACTTCAGAAAAACAGAGAAATATATTGTAATCAGCATCTGATTGTGTTTTTGGCTCAGACTCACACACCAATTTGTAGCTGCTGATTCTCAGACAATAATTGGACACAGAATCTGGTTCAAATCTGATGCTGTTCCATTGAAATCAGTGATTTATAACAAAATGACCAACAAAGTAGGTGTGTTAGCTGAAGTTAAAAAAATTCCAATGTTAATTTAGTTTAGAGATATACATCATTCAACTAATATCAGGTTAATAAACATGAGAAAAATCTGTTCTTTGCAGAATTTATGACGTAGCTAAACCACAAGGAACTATCTCCATAAGCCCCATATTCAGACAAGCAGATGGCACATAGAAATTGCCTCATTGTGCCCATCTACCTGGTTTGAGAGAGGACTAAAGGCTGGCTACAAGGAGTGTACGGGGAGGACTGGGGGCCTAAAAGAATTCAGAATCAGACCCTCATAGTCACACCTTGGATACAAACCGCAATGGAAGTAACTGACAAGTCAGCATCTGCCAAAAGCAACAAGTACAGCTGTGATTTAAACAAACACAAAAGTATTTGTGCCAAGTAAAACCTGCCTCTGTGCCTCAGAACAACTCGCAAGTCCCATCTTTAAATGTCCCTCAAACATGTAGATCAGAAGTCACTTAAGTAGAGACCTTTGTTCTTTTTTTGGCTATACATCTGCAACTGAGCAGCTTGTTTTGTCCCACGTTCTTCTGCACAGGGATTTGTAACAGCACAACAGCACCCAGGTGGCAGATGCAACAAGAAAAATTAAATTCATAGATAATAGGAAAAAGAGCTTATGAAGTACAGATAGAGAGGAGATGAGAGAACCACGTGCTGCCAAATAGCAAAGCAGCTGAGCAGAGCACGGGAGAAAATATGGGGGAGTATGTCCATCCCTCAGAACACGCCGGCAGATCACATGAAGGCAAGCAGCAAAGAAACTTACCTGTTTGTTTTTTTTACTGGATAGGGCTGATTTAGGGTTTAAATTTAGCCAGGGAAACAGAGAGAGTGTCAGCAAGTGATCCCATTTCAGCCAGCAAGCCGAAAGGGAAGGCCATCCCAAGGTCTGAACGTCGTTTGGCACCAAGGGACGGGGGGCACAGCCCTGGGAAGCAGCCGGGCTGGGACGGGAGCAGCAGCGGGAGGATACAGCCGAGAAACAGCACCCCGGCGTACCCAGGGGAAGGGGCTTTGGTTAAAAATAAACACACACACTCTCTATCAACGCTTTCCCAGTGCCAGCACTGTAATATCTCCACCGTCCCCACAGAAATGCACTGGGGTTTCTCCAGTTCTCTGAGAAGAGGGGTTGAAGACAATCCTGCAGAGCTGATAACCATCAGGTTTACCTCCAAACCAAGTTCTGGCATGTTTGGCTGGAGATACAGATGCCTGGCAGAGAGGTCCCCTTTCCCTGAACAAAACGTGTGCAACCAGCAGAGCTCTTCCACCCCCAGCTCTGAGTTCAGGTTACCCTCACACACCCGTCTGAGGAGCCCAGGAGATGTTGAATTTCCTGACCTCTTCTGGAGGGACAGAAGGGCACCTCTTTATCAAAGCAGTTGATCCACGTCAATTGGAAAAGAAAGGAATTCCAGCCATGGAATAAAGCAAGTAAAAATGGCATTTCTGGCCCTATCTGCTGTAAGTGTGCATGCACTGAGGTACACACCTGCTTCCTCATGTTACTCGGTGTTTGTGGGTGTAGATGTACATAGACCTCTTTGGTGGAGCTCTCTCGTGAGCAGGCGTAGAACCAGAGGGAAAGTCAATCGGATGAGAAGAGTGTCACTGGGCTAATCTTCCAGCCTGGAGAGCAGTTTGTGTTTTAAAGCCCAGAAGTGCAAGGTTTACCTACGGCCCACCCCAAAATACTGTGGCAAAGCAAATTTGCTCAGTGGTGTCAAAGATAAGCGTACGCCTGCGCATCTGAATAACAACATCTGCTCTCTGGCTTTATCTTTGCGGTGTTTTGTCCCACGGCACAGAAGAGCAATCGTTCCAGAGGGACTTGGACAGTTACTGACCCAGTGAATGATGTCTTCTGCAATGGCAGATCTGCTCTCCACAGCTGGCTCCCTTCGCCCCTCACCACCTCCATAAAGGGTGCCAAGTTTCAACTAGCAACTCAAGAAACGCCGTCAGTCTTCCCAAACTCACTGCAACACGGACTAGCAAAGTCCTGGGAGAGCTCACATCCCCACGGCACAATCTCTGATTGAACCTAAGAGTCAAAGCAACCTGCCGGGAGGCAAAAAACCACAGGTTCAAACCCCAGCCTCTCACTGGCCTCCAACAGGTCGTTTCCACCAAACTGAACAGTCACTTACTCAACACCAGCTTTGGGGAGCCTGTCAGGTAAGATATTACTTACACATACCTCATCATCTCTGAAATAGGCACATTGCAGCTCTCCTGACATTTTAAGACTAAATTCATCATTCTTTGCACATTGCTCTGGAATTCCTCAGGGGAAGAGAAAACACAAACCTGACAAACTGAATCAAAGCAAAGGTCTGTCCAGCCCAACACCACGTCTCCTGCCTCTGCTGAGGCAACAGCAGAAGAAAAGTAAGAACGACAATCTTTCTCTTGGTACATTCTCCCAAGTCCCAGCATTAAAGAATATATGGATTTCTTCAGCGGGAGCCATTGTGTTCAGCTGCCATTGGCAGGGCTATCCTCCGTGATTTCGGTAATTTCTATTGAACCCATCTGCACGTTTGGCTTTCACACAGGCTGAAGCAGCATAAAGCGTTTCTGTCCATCATATTATCAACGTAATGTGCTTACTCCCCAACAATGTTACTGGGAATCACCCACCAGGATACTAAACACAAAAACTGGAAAACAAGTTTTGTGTTTTTCTCAGCTACTATTGCTGTTCTATTAGCCCTGAAGCCAGGCATCCTCCCAGTCCTGTGAAGAAACACCCCAGGCAGAGCTTCTCCTGGCAGAACAAAAGCCCTACAGAGCAGAGTGAAACAATGAAGCTGTTAAATTCCCAGTGTGTGGTTTCTCTCAGCTTGCTTTGGCAGCTCAGTACGGGGAATACGTGTAGGTGGAGCTGGAAAACTTCTTACTCAAACTTGAAGGAGGCACGTTTTCCCCTCATCATCCTCTAAGCACCTTTATACACAAGACCACAGGAAATAATAAATCCCTGCCACGCTTCCAGCTAGCACAAACAGCCATGGTCCAAAGTCAGGATCAGGGGACTGAAAAAATATTAAGCTCTCTTTTTGGATAAACAAAACGTAATTCAGCAGCCGTGCCTCAGCGCGTTTCCTCGGAGCAGTGGAAGTGAGTTTGTTTCACTGTCCTTGCAGGCAAACGGCAAGGAAAACATCCGAGCTGCGGAGCATCAGAGGGCACAGGGTGCTTGCCAGAGCCCTGTCCCCAGGGCACCCAGCTCCCTCGCTCAGCAGAGAGAAAGCTTGCACAAAAAGATGCCCTCAGAGAATACTCAGTAACAGGAACTATGCGAGTTTGGCTCCTTCCAGATGCAACCCTTCCACTGTCACATCCAGAGCCCCTGGGAGTTTTCACAAACAGCCCTTCTTAGTTCCCTTTTGATCCCCGCTGTCTTTCCTGCTCTCCAGATCCACATCCCTCCCGCCCAGTCCCAGCCCTGAACAGAAAACCTGTCCCTATGAGGCTTTCCCTCCCCTGCAGATGATGTAAGTGGTTCCTGCACGCAGGAAAGTTTCACGCTGCCCAGATGGATGCAGCCACTGGGACATCCTGGCAGGGCTACCAAAAGCTGTGAGCCAGCGAGGAAGCAAAGCTCTGTCACCTGTGCTTGGCCTCACCTGGGGATGCTGGTGAGATACGTGACCACGTTCAGAAAATCTTCATCAGGTATGTCACTGAATCCCGCAAATTCTGGAAAGGTTATAATGGGCGCCCCATCCTTCCCTCTTCCTCCTGCAAAAGAGAGGTTGTAAAGATTAGAGGGTGGATTTATGCCTCTGGACAGAGCGGTCAGTACCCAAATGGGAAACACCGGCACATCACCCGTTGAAAGCACCCAGGTCCAGTACAGGTGTGATCAGCTTCCCATCTGATAACATAACGCACTGTAGTTTCATTAACCCAGCTCCTTCCAGCTGACATTCTGGCCTTTGCTGTTTATTCTCAGCCTTTTCATGAACCTTCCGCATAACTCTGATTAAGTGCTGTCTTTCATTAAAGCTGAAGAACCCCATGTTTGTGTGAAGTAAAGGTGAGAGCTCTAGAAAAAAAAAAAAAAAAAAAAGGAGTTTTGAACAAGGAAACCCTTTTCCTTCTTGGCATCTGGTGACAGTGTGGCTTTGTCAGGACACTACCTTTAGCCAATATTTTCCTTTCTGAAGGTTAATTGTTGCCTTAATTGCATCTTAAAGGGACTCAGTTGTGTCAAATCATCCTCTAAACTCACCCAGAGCCACGGCCTCCACATTAACCTCAGGATAAGGTGCAGCACTGGCAGGTGGCACCTGATGCCAGGGCTCTCTGGCTGCAGCCAGCAGTGACGCAGAACATGCTGTCCTGCAAATGGAGTCAGACCTTCCCCACACTGTTTGCTGCGCTCTAGGAACCAGGAACTCCATCCAGATGGTCTGCTACAGATTCTTAGTGACATCTTCTGGACACAAACAATAACGGGCAGGAAAATTAAATAGGAAGCCTGTCTGCTCTGTCTGTTCTTGCAGAGCTCAGTGCATGCCAAGCTGTGTCAGGGATGGTATCTTGTACCCATTCGCACGGTTCCTGGGCGCCACACTTCCCCATTCATGTGTTTCAGATACACAAAGATACTCTAAATGCAGGAGATGTAGCCATATTTTAGTTTAAAGCAGCAATATTTGCCCTGGAGGAGAACATAAAGATTCCCCTGGATCCTCTTCAACACCTGATAGCTTACCTGCCCTTAAACTCAAGATTTGTTTAAGCTGTGGGTTTCATGTGGCACATCTAATGCTCCTGCTGACCACGGTCTCTGTGTCCCTTTTATCTCCTCTTTCTCTTGCATCCGTGTTCACACATGTTCTCCCTCGGGCCTCTTTTCCCCAAGCTAGATGAGGCAGCCTGATGATGCACTCTATGTATGTGGGGGTCTATTTTTGTCACAGCATCTCGTCCTATGAAAAGCCATTCGAGAACTGAATGTAAACAGACTGAACACTGCCTTATCCCCTTCACTGCTGGCAACAAACCTAGAAGGACACTGAGGAGCAGCCTCGGACTGAGCTCCTCATCTCTGACCAGCCCACAGGTCCTTAACAGCTCCTGGGCTCCATCTCATTGCCCAGGGTGAAGGTAGCACCTACTGCTGCACCCAAACCAGAAGAACACTCAGAAGGTTCTCGAGTGGTGGACTCACCCAAACCAGAAGAACACTCAGAAGGTTCTCGAGTACAGCTCTATTTCAGACTGGGAAATAGAGACGGAAACCCTCAGTTCCTGCTATACCGTGAAATTGGGGCGAGTTTTATGATTAGAAATTGTGAAATACTACAACAGGGAGAAAGCAGGGATGTCTGCAGAGTTAGGTGACAGGGAGGTCCTTTCCAACCACTAAGATTCTGTGAGTACAGCTCTATTTCAGACAGGGAAATAGAGAAGGAAACCCTCAGTTCCTGCTATACCATGAAATTGGGGTGAGTTTTATAATTAGAAATTGTGAAGTACTATGACAGGGAGAAAGCAGGGATGTCTGCAGAGCTGGGTGACAGATGATAACACCATGGGTTGTTCCTGCCCAGACCTGAACCTTGAGCAGCAGCTGAATTACAAGGGAAAATGATCCACGCCCATTAATCAACATTTCTAGCAAGGAAACAAGAGTGGATGTTCAGGGATATAAGGGAAGCTCCTTATTACCAAGGGTGTCTGGAAAACTCTCTCCTCTGGATGAGAGAGCAGTTCCATACATCTAAATGTTAATGCCATTTCCTCCCCTGACACTGAACCCGGAGTTGCTGCAGTTTGCAAATTCCTGCAGAATGGCAACTGACAAGCTGCAGCCCTTTTTTTCTGGGCCATCAACCTTGCTTTCTAGGGAGCTGCCACCCCATTTCTTCCAGTCTTTGAAATACTTTAACTGGCTACTTAATGCCTCGGAAGGGCAGAGAGCACACACTGAAAGCCAAGAGGGACTTCCCTCAGTCCCACAGCCACCAGGACGGAGTGCACGGAGTTTGTCCCCAGGGATCCCCACACACAGCCCTCCCTGGGACAGCGATAACCCCCGCGCTCCCGGGCATCGCTTGGGAAGAGAGTCCAACTGCTGAGCAGAAGATCCTACCACCCATCATGAGTAAGGCACACAGGGACAGAACAAACCCCAGCAGCTCTTGGGAAGAGAGTCCAACTGCTGAGCAGAAAATCCTACCACCATCATGAGTAAGGCACTCAGGGACAGAACAAACCCCAGCAGCTCCACGGAAGGGCAAAATAAAAGAATACTCACTCAAGGAAAACAAAACAAAACAAAAAAAAAAATCAAACAAAAAAACAAAACCAAAACAAAAACACCAAAAAAAAGGCTTTTTAAGTAGAAAGTGAGGGCAGGAGAAGGGAGACAGAAGAGAAGCGCTGGAGAGAGTGGTCCCCACGAAGGCAGCAGAGGGCTGGAGGGGATACCTTATGGCATGTCTGCCGTGGTCTGTGCAGGGAGATAAGGGGGACCAAGGGCTGCCAGAACCAAAGAAGCTCCATGAAAAACCAGAGCAGCAGGAGGTGAGCAAGAGGCTCCATGGCAGAAGCCAGCAATAACTTGAGTTTAGTGCAGCCAAAAGGAGAAACAAAGACACACTGACAAACAGACACCAGGAGCATGGCCATGGCTGGCAGCAGCCTCCATGCGACACGCAGGCCCCTGTCTCACCAACTGCAGGTCCTCCAGGCACCATTAGATGCCACCCTGCAGCTCCCTTCCACAGCCCAGCCACCTCCCAAACCTTCCGGCAGCTCCAAAGGCTGCTGGCAGTGGCCATTGTCAGCAGCAGCCACAAGAGCTGGCAGGAGGGCAGGCTCAGGGCCACCCTCTGCTGAACTACCAGGAGGTCACTCCTCACCCTGTCATATGGGAGCTTGGCCACCTCTGGTGGCCTCCCGGGGGTCAGTGCTCCTCAGCCAGCCCCAGGGGTTTGCCTGCACGGGAAACTCAACCAGATCTTGTCTGCCATCCCTGAGCTCCCCTCCCAGAACCACACAGGGTTGGAAGGGACCTCTGGAGATCAACTCCTCCAACCCCCTGCCAGAGCAGAGCCACCCAGAGCAGGTTGCACAGGAACATGTTCAGGCGGGTTTGAATGTCTCCAGAGAAGGAAACTCCACCCCCCCCCTGGGCAGCCTCTTCCAGGGCTCTGCCACCCTCACAGGAAAGAAGTTCCTCCTCATCTTTAGGTGGAATTTCTTACATTCAAGTTTGTGCCCATTTCCTCTTGTCCTGTCCCTGGGCACCACTGGAAAAAGCCTGGCCCCATCCTCCTGACACCCACCCTTTAAGTATTTATAGGCGTTGATCAGATCCCCCCTCGGACTTCTCTACTCCAGACTAAAAACACCCAAGTCCCTCAGCCTTTCCTCACCAGAGAGATGCTCCAGGCCCCTCATCATCTCTGTAGCCTCTGCTGTCCCCTCTCCAGCAGTTCCCTGTCCTTCTGGAACTGGGGAGCCCAGAACTGGACCCAGTGCTCCAGCTGGGGCCTCCCCAGAGCAGAGGGGCAGGATGACCTCCCTCCACCTGCTGCTCACACTCTTCCTGATGCCCCCCAGGATGCCCTTGGCCTTCTTGGCCACAAGGGCACATGGTCAGCCTGACCTTCTGCCCGTTTGCCACCCAGATTGACACCTCCACTTTCCTCCTCCGCCTGGGCACTTCCCTTCTTTCCCACCCCAGGTTCCTGCTGAGCTTTTCCTCTCCCCTTGTGGCCCAAGGGCAAAGGGACAGGAAGAACCGGAGAACAGGACAGAAGTACAGAGTGAAAGTGAGAGGGAAAGAAAAGCAGGAGAGACAGGGCACAAGCCGAATAGTACAAGGAGTGACAAGAGGACCATGGTCACTCAGGTGTGCCAGTTCCCCTTCCCAGGACACAAAGCAGCTCCTGCCCGACAAACTTCCCAGCTCCCAATGTGGCCTGGCTCACTGCTGCTGTGACCATGCGGCCAGAATTCAGCTGTGTCAACAAAAGAGCTCAAGTATTTGGGGGAGGAATATGCATGGGGGAGAAGGGGATATGGCAGCAGAGAAAATTCAATTTTGCTTTGCAGCGTGAAGGGTGTGACTGAGAAATGAGGTGTGAGGGCTGAACTGGGAGAGCTCTCCCAGCTGGAGCTGCATGCTGGTGTGACTGGTGTCAAGGCAGCAAGTGAGCACAACTGTGGGACACGACGGGGAGCCTAGGAGATCTCCCCCTCCCCAGTCCTAGCCCACCTATACCTCCTGTCCAGGGACCAAAAACACCCATGGGTGAGACATTCAGTGGCTCCATTTAAGTCCTATCCCATAGCCAGCAGCTCTTCTTGTAACACTGCTGGTGAGATTCATCAATCTAACCAGAGCTTATCAAATACATCGAATCCCTTGGAAACCCCCCCCAGGCTATGGGCAGGAGAAGTTCCCAAGTGTCAGACACAGCTCAGCAGTTCCTCCTGCAGAGCTTTCTCTCAGCTGTGGGATAATGGCACGGGATAAGGGCACACAGAGAGCCCCTGGGTCACAGCAGACCCCTCCACAGTTCATCTCCCAGCTCGGACAGCTGAAGGGTTCAGCGATACCTTGGCTGAAGTTTCACTGCCTTGGCCAGGGTTTGCTTGGTCCGTGCCCTCCTGTTCTCTTTCCCCACGGTGATTCAGGGTGGTGAATGCTGCATTTCTCAAAGTTAAATCCTACTTCCTGGGTGTAGATTTTGACACAAACTCCAAAGTGTCCTTTTGGCAAGGTCAGGCCAGGTTTTCCAGAAGGCTCAGTTTAAGAGGAGGCAGATGGCCAAACGCCCTCCGGGCTTTGGAAATTAAATAAACTGGCTTCGGAGTCAGTTCCCACTTTCAGATGCCATCCACTGAGGTGCACTGACTTACCAGGAACAGAACACAAAGAAAATGAATCTCTGCTAAAACATGTCGTGACAGTTTGTCTAATAAAGTCACGATTTAGTAACAGGATCCATTATTGCTGCATATGGCAGATTGGGCTCTTTGACAGAGTAATTACAGATAAGAACAGGTTGATGAAGCTGCATATAAAAAGGAGGGGGTAGCAGTAGCTCCCAGGGCAGACTGGTGCAGCGGGCTACTGGTGTCAGTGGGACAGGAACAGTATCTTGCCAGTGGTTCTCTAGTAAAAACTGGTGTGTGTGTGAGAATAGCCAGGTTTTCAGCACTCCCCAGCTGCGTGGTCTAGTTCCCTCAACAGCTACAGGAAACACACAGGGGTAGCTGTGCCCTCCTGTGTTGTCTCAGCTGCAGTCCTGTAATTGGGAGCTCAGATTTCAGGGAAAGGAAAGAGGCAGCAGCAGCTCCAGAACTAGAATTTAACCACAAGAGCCAGCACGCCCACCAGATCTCACAAGCTACGCAGGGCTAGATCAGCACATGGAAAAGGAGATGACCAGTGGAGAACTCCATGGTTAAGGATATTGTCACATCACATCACAGCCTTTTCCATGACCCAGGAAGGCTGTGGAGAGTTTCCCTGTTCTTGGCACGTGCAGCACAGGCTTGGTTAGTCTGGTAGCCAGAGGGCCAGGACAAACAGGAGGCTGGGAGTATCCAACACATTCATTTTCACTAGACCCTGACACAATCAAACACCCAACTCATTAAGCTTGGTACGTAATTCCTACCATCTGCTCAGAGACTGCAGGACAGTCAGATCCTCTTCTGAGAAGTTTGTACTCAGCAATAGCAGAGGAGAGTGTTTCTAATGAGTCATGTCCAGAGAAAACAAAGAGCCTTTGACTTCAATCATTCTACTCTTCTTCTGCTTTTCTGCAAGGGAATACTACGGTTTCACTACATCTGCCTCAGCCACCAGCTGTTATTAATCAAATATTCATTTATAACAAACTCTGCAACAGTCAACTGGTTACTCGTTATCACTGGGCAAGTGGATCTGGGGTCCACAGGCTGGAAGAGGAGAGCTCCCCAGGGCCAGAGGCCGTGGGGTGGCACAAGCCAGACCCACTGCAAGTGCCTGCAGGGAAGAGGAGACCAGAGCTGCCCTGGGGAGTGAAAGAAGTAGCCCCCGCCAGGGTAAATCAGCAGATACCATTTTTATGAAGTTGTTGAGACAAACATATTATACACCCAGAACACTCTACAAGTACGTTGGGAATGTCTTTTACTGCCCACAGTGATGGGGTGAAAGACCAGAGGGGATTTTGTCAGCCAGTGGCTACCGAGCTGACGCCTATTGGCACAGAAAAGAGAGAAATGGGCTATGTATCCAGAGATCTTCAGTCTCCACCAAGGCAAGCACTGATGCACCAAAATATTTGTGGCTGCCTGTGCCTAATGAAAAGCAGCACGCTGTAAGGAAAAGCTGCAGAGCCGCCTGGGAAAAAAAAAAATAATCAAAATCAAATGAGGTCATTTGTGTGTGATTTACTTTGGTAAGTGAAATGAGGCAGGAGAGTGCCCAGATCTCTTCCCATTGGATGAAAAACCCCAATCTTTTGCTAGAGGAAAAAGAAAGTTACACTTAATTAGAAAAATGCATTTTTGAAAAGTATAGTCATTTCTGGCTTGTACCTAAACCTCAGTTTGCAGGAGGCAATAAAGGGCCAGTAAGGAAGGTTCCTGTTGTTATATTGTACCTACGACCCAGCAGTGGCCACCAACAGAACAAGACACTGGGCTGAAGGGACCTCTGGGCAGATGAGTGTGTGTCTGTGATGTCCCCCACAGGCAGCCACGGGGGTTCGGAGCAGAGACCCCCCGGGTTTCCAAACGGAGCTGTAACCTTCAGACTGAAATCAGCTTAGAAACTATGAACTATGCTGCCCTCTTTCTTATTCAGATATTATTTCTGGACTGTGCTGAGGAGATTTTAGATGAGCCTGAGAATTTTTCCAATAGGATTTGTTATTTTTATAGATGGGATATGAAAAACACCTTTCACTCACTCTTGGCATTTGTTGTTAGTACTTGTATGCTGATGAACCGGTTATTTGCCCATCCCTAACAATGAAACCCCTCAGAAGAGATATTTCCCAAGTCTTTAAGCACATTAAGTTTAAATTAGACTATTTAAATATCTTTCTCACCACTTCCAAGAATAAAAGAATTAGATCAAGTATGAAGAGTTGAATTTGCTAAAAAAGCAGATGATAACGCGGGTACTGCTCTATGATGGGTCCATAAAGAAATATGAAAATGCTTTTTTATATTTACCCTTGAGATTTCTGTGCCATGTTTAACGTTCTAGCTGGAACTGGGGGTTTCCCCCTCTTTGACAGACTGCTTTCCACAGGTAGCTCATTCCACACCACACAGGGCTGTTATTAACGGGCTCCGACATCGCCAGGCAATGGGCTTTAAGAAAAGCAGCCTCCACGTCTCACCCGACAGCCTTGCACATGAGTCACCGAGTTCTCAACATGCATCATGTTCTTTGCACCAAGAGAATTGATTTCAGGCATTCGTGTAGCAGCTAAATCAGAGGCCTTGGAGACAAGACTGGTTTCAGCAGCCCTGGTGCCTGGTGAGCAGGAGGAGTGAGTAGAGCACTGCAGAGAGCCCAGCCAACACATGTTTTCTTGCTCATAAGGAGCAGAGAGGTGTCCCGGCCGTGGGCTGACCAAAGTCAGCATCAAGACCCAAAAGGAGTGGAACTGAGTCTAGATTCCCTGCTCCCTTCCTTGCATTTAGAATATTTTAAAGTCAGTTTAGCACTAATAAAAGGGATCTGAGTAGCATTCCTGAAGCGGTTCTTTAAGTGAGGATTGGTTTCAAACTTGACAACAGCCCCCAGATTAAGAGACTGGCAATTCCCACCCATCAGTCATTACTTTTTCTGTTAAGCAGCCAGCACCTTCAGGGAAAGGGGTGGCCAGATTTCCCTGCCCCCCTAATGCTTCTGGGACCCTGCTGTGGCTCCTCTGCACTGAAATCCCTGGCTGGCAGGTGTTAAGTGGCACTTAGTGATAATACCACGTTACTCACCATGGACAGCCAAGGAGAATGGTGCAACACAAGCTGCTGTAGGATAGACACTACCCTGCACTGAGCACCACGGTGGGATGCAAAAGGGTTGAGCAATTTTCTGCAGCTGCTAACACTGTCCTGCAGGGAGGCTTGTGTTTATTAGGAATTCTAGGAAGACATGACCCTGAGATGCCTCACTGCAGGTGAGAAGGCAGCTGGTTCCACCCCTGCTCAGCCAAAACCCTCTCCTGAATGCCAGCCAGTTGGTTACTGAGCTTAGGAAGCTGCCACAAGAAACCTAGAAACCTCCAAAACCAAGTTTTAATACGCAGAGCCCCATAAAGAATTCTGAGTAACTGAAGATCTGGATTTCATTTGGTAGCTTGGAACGTACTTGGGAAGGTGAAGAGGCACAAGGAGTGGGGTCTGCTCCGTGCTCTCTGCTCCGCTCTGGGCAGAGGGACAGGCTGACCAAGAGAACCTCCCTGTGACCATCTTATTTGCAGAACAGGCAGAAACAGAGACAAAAGAAGTTACCAGAGGCCATACAGTCAACAGCAGAGGCCATTTTAGGACCCAGATAAGGATTTGTCTTCTACAGTATCCAAAAGAAGCCTATGAAATAATTTGGCAAATATTTCAGTATCAGCTATTTATTCAGGGAAGGAAATGCGTCACTTTGTGGGATTGCAAACTTCAGGGAAACAAAGAAATGTCCAATAAGCAAATCTTTAAAAGATTAGAACCGTATACTTTAGAAATTAATCATCTCCAAAACAAAGGCAAAGAAGGAAGAGGGGGAGGGTGATGAATAGCTCCCTGTTAGACCAAAATCTTTTCCCATAAACAAGATGCTTGGACATTGTGCAAAGATATGTACAGAAAGATTTGTTTAATTTCTTACCTTCTGAATCTGGTCCCCCCACCCCATTGTGGAGAGCATGGAAAATTAACCTGCCTTAAGAAAAACAAGCACAGCAAGTTGGCACTTCTCAGCTCCACACACTGTGAATGTCTGATGGTAACAGCACCTTTCTTTAGCCCTAGAAAAGCGCTACTGGAACTGCTGTAAGGGTGACAGTCAGCATGTCGGATTCCAGTACATTTCCAAGAGAGTCCCAGAGTGTAATTACCAGCAAGTTCTTACCTGACAAGATAGCAAACTGCCTGTGGAGCTGCTCTATGATATCCACTGCAACCAGCGGCCGTATCTCCTGCTGCATGATTTCATCTGTGCAATGAAAACAGAAACCTTCAATGAGTTAATGACAATTTTCCCAGCCTTTAAGAACCCAGCAAAAACAGAGATGACACTCAGAGGAGAAGAGCCCGGCTTGGCCGTTGGCTCAGATGTTACACGACTATCACGGAGGAGTTAATGACACTTATGGAGTCTCATCCTCAGCCTACTTACTGTATCGCCTGGTGACTGCAGAGAGAGCTTTTCACAAACCAGCTCCAGCAGATTTGCCAGAGCTTGTGACAGGTTTGCTCAGGCTGACAGCCTGCTCCTTACTACTTCATGTTCCAGTTTAAGCCACTGCGTTTGGCCTCCCACATAAAGCAGCTTCTCAGCCTTTGGAAAAGCGAAGTCTATTTCAGAGGCAGTGCCATGTTCCACCCTCAGCCCCTGGTCTCTGCTGGGGACTCTGTCACCAACCAATCCACACCAGTTTCCTTTGCTGATGCTTTTTCCGCTACAAGCAAATACATAGTAAAAGGAGGAAATAAGGAGCTGCAAGGCTTTCTTCTCACGAAAACAAAGCCTGCTCTTTTGAAGTAAACACTGAAAAGTTAAAAAATAACTTGGCAAGCAGCTGGGGAAAAAAAAAAAAAAAAATCACCACAACTTGTGTGTGGGATCTATTCAGTGACCAGAACTCCAACCTCAGGTTGAGCTGATTTTATCTCTTTCTGTAGCAAGTGCACCCCATTGTTCTCTCCACTCTTCACCCCAGTCTGGACCAGCAACATTTACTGGGGAGTATGTGCCAGCTGAACCAGCAGGGTCCAGGCTGAGGTTAGGGTAGCACCTATGATAATCACACCTTTAGCCCCCACACAGAACCCCCAGCCCTGGCTGTGTGCAGCTGGGTCACACCGACCACCACCAGACCAAAGGCAGGCAGTTGCCCTCTTTAGGCACCAAGATCTTCATCAATGTCCCTACGACGCAGGCACTGAAACACTTCAGTGCACCTGGTTTTAAATGGTAGCAGAGAGGGAAGTCAGAGAGGTTAGGGGTTAGCTTCTTTCTCCTGCATCCTGGTCTGATCCCACTCTGATCCCAGCCAGAACCAGGCATTCTAGGTTTTAAATGACAGAGTGGCACTTGGAAACTTTTCTATTCACTTCTGAACACTTCAGTAATGCAAAGTAAGGGAAGAGCTTATGTCATTGCCCTCTCCGAGACAGACGGAGACACACAATATGGAAAGAAGTTGCACAGATTTTGGCTGATGCACAAAATAAGGCAATAACTCCAAGCAATTGGAAAAAAAAAAAAAAGTCTCAAAGGAGCTGACTCTGCAAATCCTCCCTTTGAACTGAAATGGGGAAAAGTCAAACTAGAACGAGTGATGTTCTTGATGCAGGACCTTCATTTCCATCCTGTTTATGCAGCCCACCATCAGCCTCTGATTCTTGACACCGCAGGTGGGTAAGAGCCCCAAGAGCAGCCTAATGAATCACAGCTAACGAGCTTGGTTCCAGTGATGTTCACAGAACTTACTGTCATTTCAATCACTGCCATGGCCACTGATTTAGCCTGTTGCACAGAGTCAGCAGAGCCAAGGCTCAGCTTTGGACACAGAGTAGTTTGTTGTCGCTCTGAGCAGAGATAAACTGCTCCAAGGAATGGAGCCGGGTGCCTGCAGAGCACTGAGCCACACAGGCACAGCCCAGGAGCCCTGCATGTCAGGGTGAGAGCTGTGCTCGCTTATTTCACATGATTCCTAGTCTCCAAATGTATTTTCTACTGCCTCCATCATCACCTGAATGGAGCCCACAAGCTGTCCAAGATCTGAGCGTGGCTGTGTCAGGTACAGTCTGTTTATATGAGAGACCAGTGAGGCTCAAGATCTCCTGAACTGGTGGGGGCTGCAGGGAGGGAAGAGAACTATTTGTTTCAAAAAGCACAGTGGAACAACTTAGGTTTGTGGATTATTCTCTCAGTCAAAACCTGAATATGCATTAGGGATCATAACCCATCAGAAGACAGATACAGCCTTTACAGGAAAACCACCATATCTTCCCCCCACCCCAAGGCACCAGAACCACAGCTGGGGTTGCTGAAGGAACTTTTCAATCATTGACTAGAAGGAAAGCTTGAAAAATTTCTTAAAGGCAAACTGATAGACACAAGTCTGGGTTTGTTTCAAAGCTGTGACATTTTGCCTGGCATTAGTGAGCATTGATCCATTCCTACCTTCTGCTAACTGTACCCCAGGAGGCCGTGGAGCCCTTCTGCTCCGTGACTGCCAGCACAAGCCTGCAGGAGGTTGATGTTCATTCAGGCTCTTGGGCAGGAACAAGGTTTTCACCATTTTCCCGTGGGACAGAGCTACAGCTGGGAAAACCCTGCTTTGGGCTGCCAGGAGCTGACTGCTGCAGGTTCACAGGCTACTTTAGAGAAACTTCTTGGTGATTAGCACATTTTAATTCACTGCACGGGGACCCAAAAGTCACTGAGAAGGTTTTAGGAAGCCAACAAGCTGCAGGAGCTTGGCAGCAAGTTGCTCCATGGCACCTGGCTAATATCTGCAGCAGAGACTGGACAAGCCCCAGGCTCTTCAGAGCGGTCCCGTCCTCTGGTAGAACCTCTGTGCAACCACACAGCTGAGGACCACAGCAAGGCACACATCAGCCAGTCACCTGGGACCTTGTTATCTTGACAACCTTCACCCAGGCATTTGCTAGCTTCTGTGTGATTATTCTTGCAGTCTTCTTTTAATTGAAGAGGCAGTTACACACAGCTTCTCAAATTTAAAAAAAAAAAGCTTAATTGATCAAACAGTATTGTGTGAAACAATGGCAATCCCCTACGTAGGTCACCGCAGTTGAATCTTTACACACACCATGCAGTTCTTCATTACTTGAGCTAAATGAATTTGCCAGGACAATCAAGATGTGAATAAAAACGTGATACTGGGGGGATGAAAGAAACAGGTCAGTTCATCGACTCTTGGTTCTCCTCTTAAACTGCTATAAATTCAATTCCCAGCAGAGACTGTTCAAGTGTTTACATGCAAGACCAATTTCACTGCAGAAGAATTAGCCTCAATTTTCCTTCCCAAGCTTCTCTACCGAGGGGGAGAAAAAGCAAAGCAATTCCTCCAGCCACCTGCCCAGCACAGCTTCTCCCCTCCTGGATCTCCAGGGGGCTGCCTACCCACTGGGCCACCTTTAAGGGGAGAGCTGTTGGGTTACATTTCATAATTCCTCACTTAAAAATGACACACACTCAGGCTTCCCCACACAGCCTATCTGATGTCTCACCACTGCTGTAACAGCCCAGGGACAGCCACCACTGGGGCCACGCCACCAGCAGCTGAGTAAAAGCTCTAATGGATGTAATCAGGTTCCCCCCTCTCTTCCCTGAGCACAGAGAAATTAGTTTACATGCTAATGGCAACTACGTGTTTCCAGCAGTGATGGAGTGAGAGCTCGGGCTGCCCAGAGCAAACTGACAGGGCACTTGCCTGTTGCTCCAGGAAATTCAACCAAAGAGACCAGCCACAGCAGGACACTGGAGGTTCTGGGTTTGTCAGGGACTGGAGACTACAACTGCCTGGCCAGATTTGGGGAAAAATCCGACTGGTGATGTGATGGAAAAGAGCCAGACAGGGTTACACATAAAGGCCAGAGATTTCATTTCAAGAGCATGAAGGGACACCTAATGTTATATGTTCTTCTTCCAAAGTACCAAAAGGCAACGCACAAGTCCAGAGTTCAAAGGTTGCAGAGTGCCTACAGTTCAAACATTTCTCCTTGCCAGGAACAGCAGCAGTTGCTCTAGCTGAGCTAAATTAGATTTCAAGAATTAAACACACCAGGGGGACAAATTTGCATGTCTTCACGGATAAGGCTTAACCAGGCTAAAGGATTTGAAGGTGTTCTGTCCCACCAGAGTTCACAATGCAAGCTCCTAAGCAAAACATTTCCTTTCCTGGGAATAACCAAAGTTATTACATCAGAGAAAAAAGCTCGTGGTTTGGGTTTCTTTTTTTTAAATTCTCTTTGTTTCTCTTTGTCATCATTTGTGCCCTTTGTTTACCTTCTGAAAAGGTTTGTTTATTCTTTGAGCCCAGCCAGAGAAAGAGCAAGATGGGTTACTGACACAGGCTGGCTGTGCTACCCTTTGTTTGCTTTGAAAAGAAATGAGAAATGCAGCTATAAACAGAAAGGAAATCCCAGCCTTTCTCTTATTCTTCTGCGCTTTCCCACCACCTCTTCTTTTGCTAACTCAAGTTGAGTCAACGGAAAACCAGGCCAGGAAAAAAGCGACTGTAAATAAAGCGAGGCAGTCTTTTTCTGAGTGGATGGCTCCTTATCAGGGTTAATTCCCTGCCAAGGAGCTTGAAGGGCACAAGGGCTAGTGAGGCACGGTGTGGGCAAGGGCAGGACCACCTCTGCCAGCATAGAATCACACCCAGATCAGCTTAGAGCAAAAGGCAGAGTGCAGCAGAGGGAAACCACTGGTGGTGTCTCTTCTCCCACACCAGTTACCAACCAAGCACCACTGTGAAGCCTACAAAGTGTGTGTCTCTAAATGCAAGCCCTGTTCTGATTAAAGCCACATGTCATAGCAAAGCTAGCTAGCTAACTTCCAAAGACAAAAGATTTTTCTGGAATATTTAAATAACTGGTTCATGTCTGGGGGTATCCCTTAACGTTTACTGTTTTGGTTTGTTGGGTTGGGGTATCTTTACTGTAACAGCAACCCCCACTTTCTGTACACTAACGCAGCAGAAATCTGGGCAAGCCAGGCTGGGGGTGACTGTGGAGGGACACGCTGCCCATGTCCTCCGAGCCCTGGGGAAGGGAGAGATCTGGGCCATGGTGTGGATGGAATTGCCTTGCCGGCTTTCCCAGCCCACATCCACGGAGGAGGGAAAGGCTGGCAATGCACACCTTTCCCTGGAGACCCCAAAAACCTGTCACCCTCAGATCCACCTGGGCAGAAGCTGAACTGGTACCCGATGAGATCGATCTTCCGTTGCACCACAGACC